ACTGACTGTTTCCAATTGATAGTCAGTTTTGTAAAATATCCCTCAACAATCGGTTTTGACGAATATTCTGTGGATTAATTTATAAGTAGACCTGTTGAAGATTATAGTGAGTCGTATAGCTTACTTGTGGAGATAAGCGTGACAAACTTATTTTGTAAATGGTTTTTGATGTTATTTGTATTTATTCTGTTAATTTTTCACAGTCTGTACACTTACCACTAAATGATTGTATATATTGTTTAAGTGTATGACCTTGAACACACTTCCGTCGTTTTACACGTATAGTATGACACACGCTGTTATCTGCTAACAAACACACTACTACATACACACACCTCTTGTTCTCCTTTGCTCGTGGTTGTGATAACTGAACTCTAAATCGTCTACTGTCTACATTTATAGACTGCAGCCACATTTATATTATATTCTACGTTTGGATATATCACTGGAAGCACATCAATCTTACTGGAATCATTAATCATCTATAATTGTGGACTCTGGTACCAATCACAAACTGAATACACACAAGCAAGCTGAAGTAACGTCCCTAATTTTTATTGTGTTTATAACGTACAACTGATATGTTATAACATTAAAGCTTACACTCAATAACTCTATTACTATTTTTCAGTTCATACATTGTTTGGTCCACCACATACTTAACGTCTATTTATTCTAATGAATACCACCAACTTATGAGACGAATTCTAACCACCGATCTTCTGGACAAATACTTGAGTCACATGTTATCAGAATCCCGTGATGAAAAAAATACCGTGATTTACAAGATTTAAGACCTTAACACTTCTTTCAACACATATCTTTGTATTCTCACCGTCATTCGTGAGTGCACTAAGTTTAGTAGCTTCTTTAAGTATTAGTTTTGTTATATGCTAAAGTATGGGACGGGTAAATACTTCAAAGTTTAAAATCTAGTCAGTAAAATGTTAGGGTATTCCATCCATTTGAATAGATCTCTCTTAGTTGAATGAGCCCACTGAAGGCGCGAAAATTGATGGATTAATAATAAGGTACACTTTGCACCATATGATCATATCTGAAGCATTCAATGTTGCGTAAACATAGGATGTCGATCGAAACACCAAGTGAAATTTCTCGTTAAACTTCGTTGTGGAATATTCATTTTAGATGTTACCTAAGTCTTCACAACAACTGTTAGTTTTCGTCGTTTTGAATACCTTGTGAAAGTAAACTTATCAGTGTTTTGAATCAATTTGTTTTACAGTTTCCCTTCAGTACTGATCAGTTTAGTGCCTCAGTTAGTCATGTTTTTTATCACTGCCTACATCATATGCTGTCTGTCCAGAAAGTTACAAAATGAATAGAGGAGAAAAAGTTGCTTACTCTACCGTGATGGTGACATTTCGGTACTTAAATATACAGAACCTAGGTGGGTTCACTTTAAATGTGTTGAATCAATGAACATTTTGACATACTTATATTGTCAGTCATCGAAATTGATTATTTTCAGTTGGAATACAAATGAACTAGTTTTATTAAAAGCTGAACACAATTTATTCCACTACCTGCTAGTTACTTTCGACTATAATGAAAATAATATCTGTAAAATATTGAAATACTTATTGTATGTTCAAAAATGAAATACACAGCCTACTACATTTCCCACTCTAGACGTGATATTAAGAAAACGTTTATGTCATCAAACGCATTACGAAATACATATGAATTACATGCGCGAAACTTGCCACAGAAAAAAACATTTACTAAACTTGTGTTCATTTTCGTGACCTGCTTCGCAACTTCACAATGAATCGTTATCTGTATAACGTTGAGTACGCATTGGACTTATCAAACTAGTTACCTGAAAACAATTGCAAATCATCCAGCACAAAATCGGAATTCATAGCATGCTAATGTTCATTATCGATGATAAACAGAAATAAATTTTCCCAGCTATCTTAGTCTACATTATGTTAGATTGTTTATGAAAAACAGTATTTATATAAATTTAACTTTAGGACTAGAGATGTTGTTTAGATGAAAAATGATCTGCTATCTCATCCTCTTCTCAAAATACGTAACTAACAAAAGTGTTAGAACGCAGTTGACCAATATCACATTTTATATAATTACGATTTAAACCGTCTTCCTGACCACAAAACAGGAATATCATAATGAATACAATATCTAACTCTATTAAAGTTCAAAATCCATCTCCACAACTTCTCTAGTTATGCCCATGTTCTAAATGAGATACATTTCGTTGCACCAGCTCATAATATTTAAAATTATTTAACAGAGAATGTGTTAAACTGTCTTATACAAATTAGATGCACCCAATCAGTTATTTGGTCACACTAGATAATTAGGCCTGATATCACAGGCTGTTGTTGTGTATGAAAGTTTTAAATGTACTTGTTCAAACCAACCATAGGCTCAACCAACATTTTATTACAAATGGTGTATATCATATTTTGCCTAGTTTCTATCCAGTTTTCAGACATGGGACCATATGTCGAGCAGATTATAGCATTGTTTGGAATGGGATCCAACGGTGGTGGTGTAGTGATGAGTAAGGATTTCGGAGGGTGGATTTCAATTAACTCGTTTGAGTATCAGTATACTTCAAATACTTCCACAAAAGTCATCACTGCAAGTACAATATCATGGATCTCAGAGACAGTACATTTTTTGATTTATTTTGCAAGATGCAGGTGGCTGGGCAATAGGATGGTGATTTATTGTCGCCACTTCCAAACATCTGTGTAAATTAGAGATGACAGTTGACAATGTCGTATGACCACTTTTAGATTAGACGATATTTCTATTCGTTGCGATGAGCATTACTTACAAGCAATGACTTGATTGAAATGTCAACTTTAACTCAATAGGCTATTGACTCTGGGTTGGTGAATGTTAACTTTCATCCCAATAAATGATATATAGTTTTTGTTACTTCCTTAACATCAAAATACAATGGGTCAATTAACTGTTCATCGGTTTTGCTATAGAACACAACCGAAATTTAGCACTTAGTGTAACAGGAATTTAATTCTTCATAAATTTTCCCAATTATCTATGAAACGAATACAAAAATGGTGTCCCACTACCGGATTTCTACTAAATGCTTTACTACAATGCGGACACAACATACATTTATAAAAATAGCATATTTGAATCCGCGGTTTGTTTTTTCATACTAGAAATGTTAATTAAAACTGAGCATAACTCAACGTATATCAAGTTTATTTTAGCCTAGATTTTCATCAATAACATTCCTCCCCTTGAATAAACTTATGTACATCTCTTCTAGTTTGCATCAACGAGATTTATATAAATCATCTTCTGTTGGCCAAATAGGCTTATACATGCCCAAACATCAAGCATTTTTAAGCATTCAATTGTATCAACTTCAAAATATTTGCTTCGTTTAGATATTTGATTTTAAGTGTGTTATATAACATTGTATGTAACAATCGGCTGTTTAATTCATTTTGATTCATACTGAAATCACATTGCTTAGTTTGTTTCGCATCTTACTGTTTATTAAAGCGCTTGTTCATAACACTTTACCCATCTAGTTTATTATGAATAACGATTTCAGGTTAAAAACAATAAACAATTAATTGTTCGTGTTTCATATTCACTAATAAAATAACGGAAAAACTTGAAAGTTAAAGAGAAGCTTTTAAAGGTCACATTATTTTTTTCTTACCGCAATATGCAGGAATCTACAGAAACGAATCATTTTTTTCCAAAAATCCAAAGTTATTTAAACAATACTTCCGTGTTTATCTGTGGCTATTCACTTCCTCTCTAACATGCTATCATATTAGGCATACCTTGAACTATACATGTCTTTTGTAGATAACAATTTTGTACTTAGGCACAGATTCTGATCCAAACTTCCTTATTCACATTCTTATTGGTGCATGGGTTTCACAAGTTAATTCAAATGTCAAATGTGTTTAGTTTGGAGATACATTTTATTTCTTTCATGTAAATTGTTATTTATTTACAGCACATGAAATGCTGTACATGATCGTAAATGAATAAATTTGAAGTGGTATTATTTCGGCAAAAAAACAAACTTTAATCGCAACGATGCAACAGGTTCATATTTTATTCACATCTTACTGATGCTTAAAATTGAAGGAAAATTCACCCAGGAAACGGTATATGGTGAATAGAACTGTACGGTGGCACGTTAACGCCAGGCGATAGGATTGTTCTTTCTTCAAAATTAACACAATTTGACTGGTTGTAAGTGTTTTGAAAGGTATTAACCTGAGGTTGTAACTAACAGTTTTGTTATAATCAAAACCTACGATCGTCAATTGACGATATCATCTTTTTTATTTGCATAAACTAGGACAATTTTCCATTTCAAGACTACTAATATTTTGTATAGCAGATAGTAACAATTGCTAACTCAAAACACACAACAAATGACCTTATTATGAATTTATAGGTATCAATGCTTAGGGTTGACTTGATAGTTTCAAATAAATTGAGCATTGGGTAGAAAGTTAGTAATAAATATTTTTTTGTTATATCCCAATTAGTAGAAAAATTGTAGTTCTAACGTTTCGTGACTATTTAGAGCAAATAAATAACCGAACTAAATTATTCATTTACTCTGAAAAATTGATTAAGTCATTAAACGTCAGAAGTTCAATTTTCCGACTCATCGGGATATAACAAAAATATAATTGTTGTGGATATCAACTCACTATTAGCTTATTTTAGGATTACATTGTATTGTGGTTAGGAGATCCTGTAAGTTTAATTTAAGCTGATCAACAACATGGTCCACTGTATTATGAACCTACACACGTCTGCACTCATTTTTTGGTTTATCGGTCAGAATTTAGCTTGTTTACAAACTAATACTACCTGAACAAAATTATCATATACAACAGAAAAGTATTCACATCTATGAGAATAACCGTAAATTGTTGTTTCATATACAACGAGGGGAAAATGAGCCAGACAATAGTGATTAAACAAGTAAGAAGTTCTCATTAAATCATTTATATAATTTAAATAAATAATATGTATATTTTAATGAAAATGTTCTCCAATAGGGACTTTTCTAATTTCTGATAAACCTCTGTAAAAAAAAATTAACTTTGGTTGTGGTCTATTTATTCCGACTTACTGTGCATCACGTGATAATAGGAAAAAGTTTTCCACGTAGTCTGATCTACCAAGTAATTCGACGAAATCTTCATCATGTGTGATAACGATTAACTGAAAGTTTTTCTGACGGCTCCTGTTTTTTATAATCCTAAATAAAAGAAAATAATATTGACTATACTCGGAGAAATCTTTTACTGTACAGTTACACACATGCATAAGTTGTTGGCTTGTCAACTGAGAGGATTAAAACAAATCTTGCAACAATTGCAAAAAAAACAAGGAAAATTTCTCATTCTTAAAAACTTAATTTCCCCGACCAAATAGGTGAAATAACGACAAAGTATTCTACACCTTTAAATGACTAAACCGGTAAAAACTCATCATGACGTTCGCGTACTCTATATAGATTAAAATGTGAAAAATTACCCTATTGTGATTTAGAAAAACATACAAACAATATTATTTTCGATTAGATCCTCATCAGGCTTTACTCTAATATACAGTAATATTTATATGCATATACGAAATTATTAAACCAATCAAAGTAGTTTATGGGTCAATGATAACAGTGGGACAGATTACATGAATAAACATAATAAGTGAAAAGTACAAATTCGTAATGGGATGACAGGTGTACTAGTTATAATAAGAATAATAAACGCTTGAATCAATATTACATAATGGGAAATAGGTCAAAGGTTTTGGAAAAATATAGACACTGAAATAACATTCATAAGGATTATGAGATTATGTAATAAGAAGTGTTCAGATAATTGGATCGTGGGAAAAAAGGGAAAAGGGTGGGAGGAGATGAAGAGAAATAAGCGAAGAAGAATATCATTAAGCGATCGGCTATTTTTGTAATTTTTAAAAATAAATTTCAAATAATCAGATTACAAAGATGAACAGTTTACGACCAATTACAAAATTATTAAAGGTGACAAAATTTTTGTTCATTATCACTTGAGCACACACTTGCAAAACAGGTACATCAATCACCGATCCCTTAATTTTTTTTCACACCCTACAATTTCTAAGAAATGGGTGGTAGGGAAGCATAATAGTCGTGCAATTAATGTCAACCATTTATTGAGACCAAGAGAGAGAGATAAAGGTGTTACAAATTTCTTATGAACACAAAGACTTGGATTAAATAAGAGCTTCCGTCTAAATTTGAACGAGTAGTTTCACAATATTTGGGCGCCGAGTTAATGTGAGACATTAAAGAGGAAAAAATGTATTTGTAAAATCTCAGCGAAAGAATTTGAAGTAAATCCAACGTTTCGCCTGGCAATCTGGTCCAAATTTTTTCAAGGAATATATAATTAAAAAACAAAACTATCGAATATACATGGTTCTCTGCTTTACTGTATACTGAATAAGACATCCAAAAAGCGTGAACACTTTAAAGTAGGTATTTACATAAGTGTGTAAGAGACATGTGTTGTGAAACGAAAAGTGTTAAGATAACAGATTGTGTGTCTACGTAAGTGATGTGAGAAGAAATTTCATCCAAATATATATTTTCTTCGGTGTGTGTATATTAAGAAAACATATAATCTTATATATGATATGAATCAAAATGTCACAGCATGCATTAAATGAAGATAAATAAACAAGATAAAAGACTGAATTCAGAGAGGAAGAATGTATCTGTAATTGAAAGTTTGTGTTATTTTAATTTTCCCGTCAATTGTTTAACATATTCAGATAAGATAACTGATTTGAACCATTGAATGTATTATCTATTGATTAATTAATATGATATAGATAGATAGAATGGAAGAAGGAGTTCAGGTTTACTTATTAATTATTAGTTGCCATGGAAGAGCTAATTGTATACCATCTCTCCTATTAATAATGTTTGAATTAGCCCAAATATGTAGGGCTTCGGCTGTTAGTCGTTCTTTGTAAGAGTTAAAGCCTTTTTCAATGATTCTTGTGCCATTAAAATCAACTGTATGACCCGACTCAATCGAGTGTAATGCTATTGCTGATTTGTTCTCAAGTTTTCTTACATCATCTGAAGATTTAGGAATGTGCTTTAAGCACAGTTTGTATTCCTTCACCCTCACATTCAATTGCCTTGATGTTTCACCTACATACGTTGCATTACAATCATTACATTTGATTACATAAACACAATTCTGTTGTTCATCCTTGTGTATTGGATCTTTGATTCTTACTAGTTTTGATCTCAGAGTATTGCTTGTTAGAAAGAATACTCTTCTGTTTTGAAGAGTTAGAATCCTTCTGATCTCTTCTGAAATACCTTTACGATATGGGATCACCACTGTGTTAATCTATTCTTTTTGCTTAACTCTTTTTTTAATGATATCATTTTGTTCTTCATTCTTAATTATTATTTTAATAAAACACTTCGGATAATTATTCATCATTAGAGTGGATACAATTAAATTAATTTCCATTTTTATATCATTTGGTTCAGTGACAAGATTTTGACTCGGGTTAACAAATTTTTGGCTGCCTTCACTTTAGCAGACTTAAAATCTAAAAATTTTCCTGAATATATCGGCTTTCGGAAAATACTAATTTTTAAACAATCATTATACTTCTTTTCAACCAAGCAGTCTAGATAAGGTTGCTTCCGTTCAGGAGATTCCAACTCTTTAGTGAACTTGATTTTGTCATAAATGCTGTTGACACGTTGAAATAGTTCGTCTAAACCATCTCGTTTTATAATGACAAAAGTGTCATCTACGTATCTTAACCAAATTTTTGGTGGAATGGAACACATTGAGATAGCATTTGTTTCCAGTGAATGCATGAATAAGTTAGCAACAATTGGAGAAACCGGTGATCCCATAGCTACACCTTCTGTTTGTCTGCACAGATCACCTCGAAAACTGAAAACAGTTGAGTGTAAGCAAAGATCCAACGCTCTAATAATTTCTGAGGGATCTAGAGAACAACGTTGTTTAAGTTCAGTGTCAGAATCTAAGAGGTTATACACAATATATAAAACTTTATTAACAGTTACATTAGTGAACAATGAGCAAACATCAAAACTTTCCATTGTTTCATCCTCTTCTATGAGGATATTACTGACAATTTTTTGAAATCATTAGAATGTTTTATTCCATATTTTATTACGCTTTCATATGGTTTAAGAATTTTGGCCAGGTATCTAGAAAGATTATAGGTTGGTGAATTTATGTAATCAACCACAGGTGTTAGTGGGATATCTGTTTTGTGTATTTTGGGTAGGCCATAAAAACTTGGATTGTTGGCTCGAATTCTTATAGCTTTTGCTGTGTAAGAGACGAGATCGAATTCCATAAGAAACACTAGTAGGGATACAATAAATAACTCTAAATGACCTATTTCTGTCTACTGCATAGGGATTACCGACAAAGTGTGTGTTTATTTCATCGACTGAGCATAGCTCTATTTGCAAAACATTTTACTAGGTTTCTTTTATAATGAAGGTCTACAGAGCTCGGTTCTATCACACACATGTCATCACACTACCAATTTGTACTTTTCACTTATTATGTTTATTCATGTAATCTGTCCCACTGTTATCAGTGACCCATAAACTACTTTGATTGGTTTAATAATTTCGTGTATGCATATAAATATTACTGTATATTAGAGTAAAGCCTGATGAGGATCAAATCGAAAATATTGTTCGATTATATATGTTGTTATAGATTGAAATATATCCAGTTGTAAAACTTGACAGTATAAAACACTACTTCTGATATATGTATAAAAAAAACAGGACAGAACTAACAAATTTTAATTTGTTCTTTTGATTGATCACATAATATCCTTGTTGTTTCGTTGTACTATTTTAACCTGGATTAATTTGATTTGGTTATTTATCCTCTGAAGAAGTGGCTTACACTGAGTGACGAAACGTCAGAGAATTTCAATGTTCTACGCATTGGGATATTACAAGTATATCAATTTATTTATAAATTTTAGCTGTTCAGATGAAAACAATCAATAAGGCTATAAAAAACTAATAATCTTTAAATAAACCATTTGGTATAATTATCCACCCTCAAATCAACGTGTGATAAGGTTCTGGGCCACAAGAAGCATCATCACAAGGAATGGATCTCTATAGAAACACTGGACAGGATCAAAGAAAGAAAGAACAAGAAGACAGCAATTAACAACAGTCGAACAAGAGCAGAGAAAGTGCAAGCACAAGCTGAGTACATAGAAGCAAACAAGCAAGTGAAGAAGAGCATTAGAGCTGACAAGCAGAAATACGTGGAAGAACTAGCAACGACGGCGGAAAAAGCTGCAAGAGAAGGAAATATGAGACAGCTTTGCGATACGACGAAGAAGCTAGCAGGGAAATACAGTAAAGCAGAGAGACCAGTCAAAGACAAAGAAGGAAGACCAAACATGGTCTGAGATTCAACAACAGCGGAACAGATGGGCAGAGTACTTCGAGGAACTCCTGAACAGGCCGGCTCCAATGAATCCACCGGACATCGAAGCAGCGCACACAGATCTCCCTATAGATGTCAATCCACCAACGACAGAAGAAATCAGAATGGCCATCAGACAAATCAAGAGCGGGAAAGCAGCAGGACCTGACAATATAACAGCTGAAGCGTTGAAGTCAGACATCGAAGTAACTACAAGCATGCTTCATCTTCTATTCAAGAAGATTTGGGAGGAGGAACAAGTGCCGATGGATTGGAAAGAAGGACACCTCATCAAGATTCCAAAGAAAGGAGATCTGAGCAAGTGTGAAAACTACAGAGGCATTACACTACTGTCAATACCAGGTAAAGTCTTCAACAGAGTGTTACTGAACAGGATGAAAGACGCAGTAGACGCTCAACTTCGAGATCAACAAGCTGGATTCCGTAAGGACCGGTCGTGCACAGACCAAATCGCGACACTACGGATCATCGTCGAACAATCAATTGAGTGGAACTCGTCACTCTACATCAACTTCATTGATTATGAGAAGGCATTTGACAGTGTAGATAGGAGAACGTTATGGAAACTTCTTCGACAATACGGAGTTCCTGAGAAGATTGTCAACATTATCCGGAACTCATACGATGGACTACAGTGCAAAGTAGTGCATGGAGGACAGCTGACAGATGCATTCCAAGTGAGGACCGGAGTAAGACAAGGCTGTCTACTCTCTCCCTTCCTATTTCTCCTGGTGGTCGACTGGATTATGAAGACCTCGACATCTGAGGGAAAACACGGCATACAATAGACAGCTCAGAACCAATTAGACGACTTGGACTTCGCACATGACCTAGCCCTCCTATCACATACACACTAACAAATGCAGATAAAGACAGCCAGAGTAGCAGCAGTCTCTGCATCAGTAGGCCTCAACATACACAAACGGAAAACCAAGGTCCTCAAACACAACACGGAGAACAGCAATCCAATCACTCTTGATGGCGAAACTCTTGGAAGATGTAGAATCCTTCACATACCTGGGAAGCATCGTCAATAAACAAGGAGGCTCAGATGCAGACGTCAAGGCGAGGATTGGCAAAGCTAGAGCGGCATTCCTTCAACTGAAGAACGTACGGAACTCAAAACAACTTTCAACCAATATCAAAGTCAGAATCTTCAATACGAACGTCAAGGCAGTTCTACTGCACGGAGCTGAAACTTGGAGAATTACAACAACCACCATCAAGAAGGTACAGGTATTTATCAATAGCTGTCTACGCATGATACTCAACATCCATTGGCCGGATACCATCAGCAACAGCCTTTTGTGGGAGAGAACCAACCAGCTTCCAGCTGAAGAGGAAATTAGGAAAAGACGATGGAAATGGATAGGACATATATTGAGGAAATCATCAAACTGCATTACGAGACAAGCGCTAACTTGGAATCCTGAAGGGAAGCGGAAAAGAGGAAGGCCAAAGAACACATTACGTCGGGAAATAGAAGTGGATATGAAAAGGATGAATAAGAACTGGAAAGAGCTGGAAAGGATTGCCCAGGACAGGGTTGGATGGAGAATGCTGGTGAGCGGCCTATGCTCCTTCACGAGGAGTAACAGGCGTAAGTAAGTAAGTAAGTAAATCAATAAATACAACTAATATGGACTGGAATGTTAGCTTCTTTCAAAAATATTTGTATATGTTTAAATTCTTAAAATTTATTTGTTTATAAAACACATGACGTTTCCTTAAATTATTCCAGTACTACTACTAATATTGCCGTGGTGAACGAGGACTTAGTGAGGATAACCGATTTATTGTTTAATACAAAATCACAGCATGTTTTGGTAAAATATGAAAACCATACATTGAATACATCATTTACACATCTCCCTTCAGTTGTCCTTTAAATACTTCATGATTCTTTCAAATCCATTGTTATTACGGTTACTGTCTGTATAGATTTCTGTTCTCTTCAATTCGATCTTCTCAATCTTCTTCTGCCAGGCATTCCACTTCTGATTGGTGTCACGTACTACTTATATAAGTTAACATAAGCAGCGTACGCCACACTACTATTACCACTACTACATTACCACAGTGATTTAATGAAAATCATTTCAAAGGATAATCGGAAGATACTTATAAAACTATGTTGTAATGTTAGTATTTACTTAAGACTTAACGATAAAACTGTCGTCAATTAAATTAGAGGTGAGTTCTTCAACAGTAATTACAAGATAGGTTTCATTTATATACAACAGTAAAGGATTTTCATAATTCAGATTTATTACTTCCTGATTAAAAAATTGGTTATAGTACTAACATAAAAGCTATCATTCAGACCTGTTTTGAGTATTCACCTTATTCAGATACGGAATACAGTAATTTGAATAATTGACAACACAAAGATAAATAGATAATAAACTTTGCCGATATTATTGTAAGAAAAGATAGATAGTGGCTAGCAGTAGAATCCAGGACGCGCCTTTCGTCCTATTTGGGACTCGTCAGTTGGATGTACCTGTATCCCAGAGTTTACGTTCTAGCACTCAAACTCTGTACCGTTCGCTTCAAACGCCATCGCGCTATCCACTTAGCTCCTGAGTCCTGATAGCCACTTGCTTGTGCAGTGGGGTGAAGTTTAAATTCACTTGGCATTGTTTAATTGGATCTTCCAATTGGTGATTCCACTGCTAGCCACTATCCATCTTTGCTTATAATGCTTGTGAATTAAGGCAATATGGAGGCAATACGCACAGTATGCACAAATGCCAATAAGAGACTGATCAATTGGAGTCCTAAACATCACTGGGAAGATCCACGTAAAAGACACCAAGTGAATTTTACCGATATTAATTCTGAATACCGAGACAGAATATAAAAGTTTCACAGTAATACCAGTATTTGACACTAAGTTTTATGTTTTAAAACTTTAATGACCTATTTTGAATATACTCGTATACTTCAAACCGAATTACTACGCAATTCCTAATAATGTGCGCCGCTGAAAATCACTTACTCTACCAGAGCATAAGCTAAACTTTCAATATTTTCTCGGTCGAGGTTTGTCGTTGGTTCATCGAGAGCAAGTACTCCACAATGTAGGCAAAATACCTCAGCCAATGCTAAACGGATGATTAAACTGGCTAGAACTTTTTGCCCAGCTGAACAACGCCCACGCATATCTAAACGGGCTTCGTTATTGCATGAAGTGTTGTTTTTTGACTTCGGCCGAGAAACTGACATGCTTCCTGTTGTTGTCTTCACCATAACCACACGGTAATTATAAGTTCTTCGCGTTCTGCAAACATTCAAAGCAGCAGCTGTATCTTCTTCGCTACATATCTCAATGTAATCGATGTCTGAAGAGTAAAATATAAATTATGGTTAGTACTTAGTCCATCAAGAGTCAGTACTCGATACTGTGGTGTGACTTCATATTTCCGTGATTAGTATTAGAAACATTTTGAAATAATGATTAAACAGTTTTTCTTCACCCCAGGTTACATTTGATTCTTATGCTATTAATAAGACATGATAGAACACTTTCGTGAAAATCCTAGACGAAAACACGGAAAAAATATCTATATATGATGCAAAATTTAACTATTATCCACGTAAAACTGCTAGCAAAAAAACCCATGGAATCCGTTACTTGATTCTTTTCACGTAACACATACGTCATGAAAAATCTCACGTTTACAAGACTTCTATCAGCAAAGTAGAACATATGAGAGGTCACAACTACCCTTTACTATAATACGACAGGTTCATGACCTGGACATTTTGCCACAAAAACGAGGTAACTGTTATTTTCTATCCACAAAGAATATGACAATAATTAGAAGATAAAAAACAGGCTTACAATCAAAAATGCATAGTAGATACCATAGAAAAACTGTTCCGTACATATTCAGTAAATGATACAAACCAAATTACCAAAGAATAAATACTGCTATTCAATATTGATTTGATTGACCAATCAATTGTAAATACGTCTCAGCCCTGGAGCAGGTGAGTCGCGGCCCGAATAGCTCAGTGGTAAGGTCTCTGATTGTGAAGCTAGGTGACATGGGACTGAATCCACCAGGGAGCATCAGTTCCCTCATGACTACAGGTACACCTTGCTGACGAGTGCCCAATAGCATGAAATCTATGGTTTTGTGTCGACTACGTCCAACCACGATCTTACATCTCAACATAGTGCACGTAATGTTGAATCACCTAGACTAGTAGCCATATTTCAACTCAGTCTATAGAACTGAGTCTGCAACTAAGAAGGACCTGGCGCACATGACATTGATCAGTATCCAGTGTCCAATCAGTTGTAAATATACATTTAGTAAATCCAATAAGTATTTAAGAAAGACTGCAAATATCAAGCATTTCATTCAAATATAATTATAGCTTATCAACTTTAATTCAAATTAATTATTACGAGTAACTAACCATTGCCACGGTATGTGCTGCGCCATAATTCTCGGATAATTTTATTTAGATCAGCCATTTTAACAGCATGATAAGACATTATCGCTCTAAAGGAAGAAAAAACACAAATTACGTTTAAGAAAAATACCATATTTATAATATCTCAATGAGTAGAAAAATAAATTTTCTGACTTTTCGTGACTCAGTGTAAATCCCTTCTTTATAGTAAAAATAAACAAGTTAAATTAACTTGAAATTAAATAGTGCAAAGTATGAAAGTTTGTGAGAAGGGAAAAACGACTGACTATATCCAACTCTTCCTTGTAACTGAAGGAAGGCAGCATCACCCGAAATGGACCAACAGAATTCAAACACCAGTTCAATCAGAAGTGCGAATTCACCCTCATACCTTAAGTCGATAATTTCTAATCACATCACTAAACATTATAACATCACATGTGGCCCAGATAAAGAATTGTATATTTAAAGAATACCAATGCTCAAGTTCTCCCCTAGCATCTATCAACTCATCAAAAAAGAAATACATGATTGACTAATTCTTTGCGAAACAGAGTCATCTAAACATAAATTAAACTAGTAAGACAAACATGCAAACTCTTTAACTTGTAAAACTATTTCATGTGATCAACAATACCATAAATGAATTTTAGTAATAGAAGCAAAACTCAATTTCGGGATAGAAATAACTATTACGGGTATTGTACTAGATCATATTTAAAGTATAGGAACTATAAACACAATTTAAATCTATTTTGGTTATTTATTTGGATAGTATAAAACAACAACAAAAAATTAATTTAGAAAAAATCACATACCTGTCTAATGCCTTATAATATCGTTCCAAATCCGAACAAGCTAATTCTGAAGTCTAAATATTAAATAATGAAAAAAGAAACAAATAATTTTCAGACAATCGTTCATATCGATACTAAGAATTTCGTGAAATACTAACATTTAAACTGATATGTTCGTCAGTATAAACTTTTAATCGCCGTGACCAGTGGAGATAATCCGTGTCGGATAGAGATAGGTATTTACCTTAGTAAAATGGAAGATGGTCGCGCAATTTCGTGGATTGGTTGGGGTTAGACATTAACACCATTGGATGCCGGCTCAGTGGTCCAGTAGGTTAAGCGTCCGCGAGCGAGACTGAAGGCCCTGGGTTCGAGTCCCGCGAGCAGGATCGTGGATGAGCACTGCTGAGGAGTCCTACAATAGGACGAAACGGCCGTCCAGTGCTTTCAGGTTTTCAATGGTGGTCTAATGTCGATCGGTTCGTGATCTCAATAAAAAACTAAATGATCTTCACAACCCCTATGCTGATAAATAAATATACTTTAGAGAAACTGTTAAGTTTGTTAGCCAACTAAAGAAAGAATTTTAAACGAATTAGAAATGTTTGTTGTGTGAAAATTGTGTCAGTGAGAATACATGATAAAGTTAAGCCTATAAGTATTATCTTATTTATACTAATTAATTAATTAATCAACATTTTTGAAGACAACTAAGCACAATTATGAAATACTGATGACAAGAGAAAAACTATATCCTAGGTCCAGTGGATTCATAATTATATTATCCGTATATTTAGCATACTTCTATTCACTTATACAATTTTATAGACATAACAATTACCGATCAGAAAGGTTGTTCTTTTAAATTAAGAATAAAAAGGTTGTATAATACAACTCTGATATTTCTTTTGTATTGGAAAAACAGCCTTATATTTATAAAAGATTCGTATAAATTTATAAATTCAAAAATGTAGAACTAATACTTACTTTAAGCTGATACATCATATCACGATATTCACAGTCAGCGTTGGTGTATTTTTCATTCAAATCACGATTAAGATAACAGAGTTTTGTGTTTAATTCACTTAATTGATTGGATATGTCTTGTTTCTAAATTGTATAGTATACAAATTAGGTTTTTCTTAGTACATGATTAAATATAGTCAAATCTCATTTCTTTTTGTAAGAAAGCATACTGTACTACTGTAAGCATTAGTTTATTGAATTATTTTAAATACAAATATAAGGTAACTTCTATATTGTATTTACGTAAAAACAAAACATATTTTATATGAAAAACTCATTCATTCGTCTTCATTTGCTTTGATATTCTTTCTTAATAAATAATGATTCAACTTATTCATTATAAAATCTATCGATAGTGGATCAAAAAAGATATAACTCAGTCATTCCGAGTATACAAGTTCCTTCTCATTAATCAGCTTACTTGGATAAGCTACTAACATGTAGTAACCTAGATGGGTCAGATTATTTAGTTTAAACTCATTAACAATAGTATCAATGTGGGCCCGACCGTTGTTGCTACCTTGACGTGGTGGTCGGGCTTGCCTATCGTGATGAAGCGTCTGAACTATACTAGCTGGAACAACCGTTCCTCAAGGCCCTACCACGCCAGACAGGTCGGTTGGAGAACGGTAAGACTAAAAGCAACAAATTCAAGGTCCGGAGGCGAAGTCGTACTGCTGACTGTAGAGAGGTGTGACAGCAGTAAGGTGTTTCCTTCAGACAACCAGCATGACAGCGATGCTACCTTCACACAAGGAGGGGTGGGGTTAGAAAAGGTCGACCCTAAAAATGCACACCTCGCCTTATCTCACGGATATCCGTCTCCGGCGGTAAGGACTCAAAAAGTACGGAGCTAACACTAAAACTACTCATAAAAAGGTCGTGTGTGACCGACCTCAAGCAGCTGTCCCTTGGGCACTGCGGTCACGCTCTCAGGTCACTATGACCAACTCTAATCCAATTTCCTTTTCAGGTACCTCCAGCAGAACCCTTTCACGGTGTGGGCAACCGGGAAGTGATAATCGCCCTCATACCTCTAACAGCACTCAAGACCACTATATTCATAGTCAACCTCCCTCTTCAATTCCTATTATTCCTCCTACATCGACTTTATACACTAAACTTCCTCTTTTAGCTTCCTCCTCAAGTGTCACCACAGCCAACGATTCTAGTGCTCAAAACACTGTCGCAGGTCTACTGAAACCTCGCTCCAAACTATAAATTGGAGCCTTCAACGCATCTGTTTGCGCCTCACTGGACGCAAAAAAGCCACATTAAAAAGACCCATCAGAACTGAACTGAGTAACGAGAAAACCAAAAGTAGGTTCCAGGAACAACTGAGGTCACACTTAGGTGGTTCTGAAAACGAGACTGACCCAGATGTTGCTTGGAAAGACATACAAGCAGCTGTGGAAACAGCAGTGACATCTATTAGTAATTTAAACCACAGGGTTACAAAGAACCAATGAATTTCTTCAAGGTCTATTGCACTGATGGATTCTCGCAAACTCATCCCATCAGGTTCTGAATACGATGAAGAGCGTAAACAAATCAGATCTAGATTAAGCAAAGTCTAAAGAATGATCGTGAGCAGTGGTGGGCAACGAAAGCAAAAGAGATGGAAAAGGAGGCGGCTATAGGGAACACAAGACAACTCTACAGACTAATAAAAGAGACTGGAATTAATAAATCAAGTGTAGGTCAGACCATTTCGGGAAAAGACGACACTCTCATCTGCTCCCAGTCCAGACGCTTAGAACGATGGCCGGAACACTTTAAGGAGCAGTTTAGCTGGCCTTCAGCTACTCTACAACTACCCTCTCTTCCCAGACAGTGTGAATGGAACATTGAAGTAGGTCCCCCATCTCTAACTGAAGTTCAAAAGGCTATAGTTAATCTGAAACGAGGAAGGGCATCTGGTCCAGATGGATTGGCCCCAGAGGTCTTTAAAGATGGTGGTCTAGTTTTAGCGACTAGGTTGACTAATATTTTAGCTAAAATCTGGGAGTTAGACGTTATCCCATCTAACTGGTCACAATCACTTATCGTCCCAATATATAAGAAAGGGTCAAAATCATCCTGTGACAACCACAGAGGGATTAGTTTGACTAATATAGTATCTAAAATACTAGCCTCGATAATTTTCGGACGCCTAATTAAGACTCGTGAATTGCAAACACGAGAGAATCAAGCTGGCTTCAGACCTGGTCATGGATGCATCGACCACATATTCACCATTCGTCAGGTTCTAGAACACAGGCATACTTATCGGCGTCCGACAATGGTGGTCTTCCTTGACTTAAAAGCAGCATTTGACTCTGTAGACCGAGAGGTTCTGTGGCAGCGTCTGTCATTGAAAGGCGTACCTCAGAAGTACATAAACCTTGTGAAGGCTCTTTACTCGAACACTACTAGTCGAGTCAGAGCTTATGGTGAACTGTCATCTGCTTTTGCAACCTCAAGTGGTGTCCGTCAAGGCTGTCCACTTTCTCCATTTTTGTTTAACTTTATCATAGACATCCTGATGGAAATAACGCTCTCATCGACTGAATTTTCGGGTATTGATCTCCTACCAGGAGGTCCACTTATTGACTTAGAATACGCAGATTACATAGTCCTGTTTGGTGAAGACGCTGATGAAATGCAGAGTCTTTTGGTAGCACTGAGCAACAATGCCAGGATGTTTGGGATGCGTTTCTCCCCCTCTAAATGCAAGATGTTGCTTCAGGACTGGTCTGCGTCAACACCTGAACTAAGGATAGGGAGTGAAGTAGTCGAACGTGTTGACAACTTCACTTATCTTGGAAGTCTGATCAGCCCTAATGGGTTGGTGTCTGACGAAATCTCAGCACGGATTCGAAAAGCTCGTTCGGCTTTTGCCAACTTACGTCACCTATGGCGAAGGCAAGATATCCGTCTATCAATTAAGGGACGAGTATACTGCGCGGCAGTTCGTTCCGTTCTACTATATGACTGCGAAACATGGCTTTTAAGAGTAGAAGATACTCGTAAGTTACTAGTATTTGACCACAGGTGCCTTAGAAATATTGCTCGAATCTACTGGGAGGTTAGACGTAGGGTATTAGGGGATGATGGTAAATCAGTTGGTGAGGTTATGAATCTTTATCGACTGAGATGGTTGGGCCACGTGCTGCGTATGCCTGAACACCGATTACCACGACGCGCAATGGTAACCGGTGTTAGAGATAATTGGAAGAAAGTTAGGGGCGGCCAAACCAAAACGTGGCATCAGTGCTTGAAGTCACTAACTTCTGGTCTGAGCCATGTTGAAAGATTCAGACTGCCTGGTTGGGGTCCGCGTGACTATCGTAACGAATGGTTGGAGACTCTTAGTGACATGGCTCAGAATCGATCACAATGGCGTAGGTGTATACACTCTCTGTCTTCCTTGAATTAAGAGATTAAAATCGCTTCATATCTTTCTACCAACTAATTCTTTCTTCCTGTACTATCTCCTTATACACAATCTTTCTTTTATATATTACCACCACTGAATTAACTACTTCTATGAATCCGGTGTTGATCTTGTTGTGCTAATGAGGTGTGGCAACTTGGACCGATGCATATATGTGCCTGGTCCTACGTTGCAGCTGACTGACTGACTGGTAGAGGTTCGACGAAATACATCTTATAAATCAAATACACAAACGTAAATGAAAAAGGCCAACATTGAAACAAAGTACCTACAAGTGAATGAAGTTTTTCCTCTTCTAATGATAAACGATTAGTTTCGTTAATTAAATCCTGATCTGATAAAGGAATATTATCACAAATCATTTGATTTTTGGCAAGAGATTCTGTTCGTTCTGTGAGAAAGTTAAGTTGACAACGTAGTTGACGAACTTGGACACAATCCGCCAATTCTCGCTGACGCATCTACAAAACGTACAAAATATTTGTAGGTTGAGAAGCCATGAAATAGGTAGTTATTAAACGAAACACTATAGGCTTTCGATGAAAACAGTACAGATAACACCAGTGGTTTACAATAATTTAGTTATATATTCAAACAGTTCGAAATAACCATATATCCGCCTGAAAATATTAAGTGATTATCAATTTTATAAAAGACTGGGAATAATAGGAAACAGTCAGTCAGTCAGTCAGTAACAACGTGGAACTTCGTACGTACGTACATCAGTTCGAGTTGCCATACCACATTAGCACAGAGATTCAGTTATCGATGCAAATCCCATAGTGGTAGAGGTACTGAAAGTATAAGTAGAGATAGGGGACATTAAGGTTTGATGATGTTATTAAAGGAGTATAGTCCAGTGGAATAAATTGGGAAAGAAGATAAAAGACATGAAGAATTCAGAAGATTAGAGTTTGAGAGAACACAAAGAGTGGATGCACCTGCGCCATTGCAAACGATTTTCAGCGATGTCATTCAAGGTCTCTAACCGTCGGTTGCTATCGTCTCGCGGTCCCCAACCAGGTAGTCTACACCTACCAACATGACTCAATCCACTTGTCAGTGACTTCATGGATTTGTGCCGTGTTTTGGTCTGGCCGCCCCTAGCTTTCTTCCAACCTACTCCTACATCAGAAAACATAGCACGTCGGGGCAGTCGGTGGTCGGGCATGCGCAACACATGTCCCAGCCATCTCAAATGATTGAGTTTCACTACTTCCTCAATTGATTTGCCATCCTTACCTAGTACCCGTTTCCTAACAACTGAGTTACTTACTCGATGGTCCCAGGATATACGAGCGATGTTTCGAAGACACCTATGGTCAAATACTAGTAACCTACGAATATCCTCTACTCTTACTGGCCATGTTTCACTGCCATAAATACGTCCTTTGGTTGATAGACGGATATCTCGCAAGTTGGCAAAAGCTAGTCGAGCCTTTTGTATCCGTGCTGAGATTTCGTCACACACCAAACCACAAGGGCTGATGAGACTTCCGAGATAAGTGAAGCGGTCGACACGCTCAACTACTTCACTCCCTATCACTAGTTCGGGTGTCAACGCAACCCAATCCTGAAGCAACATTTTGCATTTCGAGGGAGAGAATCGCATGCCGAACAGGCTTGCATTGTTGCTTAGAGTGGTCAGCAGACTCTGCATTTTGTCAGCGTCTTCACCAAATAGAACTATGTCATCGGCATATTCTAAGTCAACAAGTGGATCTCCCGGTAGAAGTTCAACTCCTGGAAATTTAGATGAGGAAAGTGTCATCTCTAAAAGGACGTCAACGACAAAGTTAAACAAGAATGGAGAGAGTGGACAGCCCTGACGAACACCACTTGAGGTAATCAATTCTGATGACAGTTCACCATAAGCTCTCACTCGACCAGTTGTGTTCGAGTAGAGAGCCTTTATAAGGTTGACGTACTTCTTTGGTACTCCCTTCAGTGACAAACAATGCCATAGAACCTTACGATCAACAGAGTCAAATGCCGCCTTAAGGTCGAGAAATACTATCATTGTGGGGCGTCTGAATGTGTGTCTATGTTCTAGGACCTGACGTAGTGCGAATATTTGATCTATACAACCACGTCCAGGTCGAAAACCAGCCTGGTTTTCTCTAGTCTGCTCTTCACGAGCTTTGGTTAGACGTCGAAGTATTATTGAAGCTAATATTTTAGACACTATATTAGTCAAACTAATTCCTCTGTGATTGTCACAAGAAGACTTTTGTCCTTTCTTATAGACTGGTACAATCAGTGATTGAGACCAGTCAGATGGGATTACGTTCAGTTCCCAGATTCTACCTAAGACCTCAGTCAATCTCGCTGCTAATACTGGACCGCCATCCTTAAAAATCTCAGGGGTAAACCTGTCAGGGCATGCTGCTCTCCTACGCTTCAGATTTCTTATAGCTTTTTCAACTTCGTAAAGATTCGGAGGACTTACATTAATTTGCCATTCAGGTCGACTGGAGATCGTGGGAAACCGAAGTGTGGCTGAAGGCCAGTTGAACTGATCCCTAAAGTGTTCTGCTCATCGGTCCAATCTCCTGGATTGAGAATGAATAATATGTCCATCTTTCTCTGCGATTGTTTCGCTAACAGTTGGGTTCCTAATACCGGTTTCCTTAACAAGTCTGAACAGTTGCCTGCTGTTACCTATTGCCGCTGCTTTTTCCATCTCTCTTGCTTTCGCTACCCACCACTGTTCACGATCAATGCATAAGCTTCTGGTCAGCTTACGCTTAAGCTGACTCCGCTCTTCGTTATGTTCAGAGTCAGATGGAATGAGTTTTCGAGCATCTATCAGTGCGGTAGATGCTGCTGAGATCCAGTGTTTCTCCCTAACCTTATGGTTTACCGTACTTACAGACATCACTGCTGTTTCTACAGCTTTTCGGATGTCATTCCATGCTGCCTCGGTGTGGGCATCACTTAAATGGCTGCCTAACTGTTTTTCTAGTTGCTCCTGAAATATACTCTTAGCTTGACTATCATTAAGTAGGACCCTAAGGGGTTTCCTTGTACCATCTTTCCTACGTCCAGTAAAACGTAGACAAATACGCGCTCGCACTAGAGCATGATCTGAGTCTAAGCATGTGCCCCAGAATGAGCAACAGTCTTCTATCGATCCCCTCCATCGGTGACTGATAGCGATGTGATCTATTTGGGTCCAGCGTTGAGACGAATTAGGGGGTCGCCATGTCAAAAGATGTTTTTCCTTATGCTTAAAGTTAGTGTTTGCAAGAAACAGGCGGTTATCTGAGCATAGCTGCAACAGACGGTCGCCGTTATCTGTTCTTTGAGCCGCGACACCATAAGATCCACCCAGGTGCCTTTCCTTTTCGCTTAGTTTACTTACTTAAGCATTAAAGTCACCAGCCACTATTACTACATCTGAACGCCTAGCTTTTCGGAGAAGGTCGGAAAGCTTTCTGTAAAACTCATCTTTTACATCATCTGAGCTGCAGTCAGTGGGAGAGTAGGCAGAGACGACGAAGAGGCAACGACGAGTGTCCCTATCTTTTCGAATCCTTACTGTTCCGTTTAGTCGGACAGCACACAAACGACTGTCTACTGGGATCCAGTCTAAGAGAGCTAGTTCTGCCCTAGGACTCAATGCTATACCTACGCCAGCGAGGCCACGGGATGCAGCATCAGGGCTTCCAGATACACGAAGCGTAAATCGAGTTGGTTCGTTACTTTGACATGGTGCAGTCAAATGAATGACACTACTAGGATCCTGTGTGCGCGTTTCGGAGACGCAGCACACATCGATGGAGCGAGATTCTAAAGTCTTTTAGGTAAGGAAGCCTGTTGTCCTATTTGGCACAGTGTCCGGACGTTGAAAGCTCCTACGTGTAGTTTGGAGCGTGGTTTCAGGAGACCAGGAATAACATTCCGCGTACTCGAATCGATTGCACTAGTGGGGCGAGGTGATAAAGGGACGTGAGAAGGGTTAGTCGTGGAGATAAGAGAGTTATTAGGAGGTGTAGGAAGGATTTGAATGTGACCGACTTGGTCTCGTGTGCTGTTACGGGTATGAGGGCTGATATCACTTCCCGGCTGCCCACACCGTGGAAGGGTATTTCTTGAGAGACCTGAAAAGGAAATCGGATTAGTGTTGGTCTTAGCGACCTGAGTGCGTGACCGTAGAGCCCAAGGGACAACTGCTTGAGGCCGGTCGCGCACGGCCTTTTTGTGGGAGGTTTTTAATGTGTTAGCTCCGTTCTTCAAAGGGCCTTACCGCCGGAGACGGAAATCCGTGGGGTAAGGTGAGGTGTGACATTTTTAGGGTCAACCTTTTCTAACCCCTTCCTTCCTTGTGAGAAGGCAGCATCGCTGCAGATGCTGGTTGTCCGAGGGAAACACCTTACTGCTGTCACATGACTACTTCAAAATTTATTTCATCCATGCAAGAGAAATCATACTTTATTAAACCTTAATAGATGTGAAGTAATTTTCAATGTTAAATGAGATATTTTTCTTTAATAAATGTTTCATATCAAATAAGTCCTGCATAAAAGAATAGTCCATTCATACAGATGTCTAAATGGTTTTTTTTGACGAAGATAAGTCCGTGTTGTAAACCACGAAATTTAAAATGGATAAAAATTTGAAAGTAAAAACAAAATCATATCGCTTAAAACCTCTACAAACGCTATATTACTGAAATATTAAACATACTTTATGTTCGTTGATTTGTTTTTTTAAGAGTTCGATATTTTGACTACAGGTGTCAGCCTCAGATTTGACAAGAGATAAGTTCTTTTGAAGTTCTTCTACAGTTTCAAGAATCACCTTCAATCGTTCTAAGGGTTGGGAATTGAATGCAAATTTGACCGAAGTACATGCGTCAGTCAACTTCCTCAGTTTTTCACCAATTTCATTAACCTATTTAATGCAGGAAAATATTAAGGTTTACAATACGATAATAGAAAACATCTTTGAAAAGAATTGCGAGAATTTATTACTGTAGATAAATTTATAAAACACTGATTTAGGATAGTTCAATGACCTACCTTTGTAGCAGCTTGTTCAATATTTTCTTCACGGATCTTAGTAATACGACTGCGTTCATCGCATGCTTCAGTCCATCGACGATGAACAGTTGGAAGTTGCTCAGATTCTAATTCAGATAGTTCTTTTTTCAAAGTTTCACAGTCACGAGTTAGACGAGAAAGATCATTCTTCAGTTGAACATTATCTAAATTTTCTTGTTGCAACTATAAATAAACAAACAAAGAAATAGATTATTCATGATATTTTTTTGTAAAAATTAAAATAAGTTACAGTGACCAGGACAAACAAACAGAAGCATACCTTATGCATTTGATCTTTAAGTCTATGCATTTCACTGACAGCTTCACGTTGAGCCTGGTTCAACTGATCAACACGCTTTTGTTTCTGCTCAATAGTTTCAGAAATTGTTAGTCTAGAGAAGCAGAATATTTTTAAAGCGATTATTTATTATTATCACGATTGATAAAAGTTAAAAGAAAATCTCGTAAATGCACGATATCTTCATTCTAATTCACGACTATTACATGACTGAGATTATTAAGAAATAAAGTTCAGAAAGCCCTTTTTTGTGAAATGACTGTTTTAAAATCGGATATTTATAGCAATATGCCTGATTGATTACAGAGAGTAAAAAGCTCCTGTCAAAATTTAAAAAACCTTATCTTTACTATGGGCAATGCAAAACCGTTTAAGTTAATGATTTTGCAAACTAGGTTCCACATAGATATACAACGTACTTAACTAAAAAGTATTAAACATGCTATCCAATAAGAGTTTTTTCAGGTAAGGTGAAGGTATTAGTAAATAACTCCAGCATTTTAGTAGTTCTTCAACTTTGATCACACTGAAGTCCAACTTGTTTTTAAAAAACTGGTAATGTTATGGATGTTCCGTAGTTAAGAAAAAATGGTAATAAATCGTTTAACACGTCCCAAATCAAGTGGATCTCAGTTTAGAATAATAACAATGTACTGATGGCGCTATGTTACATATGTATGAGTGCTACATGAGTAACGGCAGGACTCATGTTTCACCCTTTAGACAAAATTTGAATAAAAAGAAAATTATTTCAATTCAAATAATTTCTACAACAATCTTTGTTGTTTACGAAGTATTTTACGGACCTTCTTTTTTTTCGGATTAGATTTCTCTGCACAGAATCAAAGTGACGTTTGATACAAAAGAGGATATAGTCGATATTCAATGGAATGTTATTTACTTTCTAATAATCAGTAATTATAGGACTTCTGAAATAAATAGTAGAAATCAATTGGTTACATATATTCACACAGCTGGTTGACATTAGCCATAGTGTTGTTTTTCGTGTATATGAGATTAGTACTTACGTTTGTTAACTAGATCTCTAGGTATTGAAGTTACCTTTATAGTGATTGGCCAAAACTCGTTTTATAATCATTCTAAATAAATATTTATACAACATCATGGTATTTTAAAATGGTATGCTTGTACGTTACAATAAACTATCGACAATATCATCATAAATGATCAAATGATATATCTTAATTCTACACTTAAACGAAAGAAATGTTTACAAAAACAAACAAAGATATGAACGATAACTAAATACAATCACTTACAATGCCTCACGTAACGACTTTCGTTCCTCTTGCAACACATCAATTAATTGAGAATCAGCTTGGGAAAAAAAACAGCTGAATGTTATTTAGTGCAAAATGACACAAAAAACTATACAAATTATTTACAATAACTAATAATTAATCATGTTAGTTTGTCTGTGAAAGCAAATTTTCTATTTACTATTATTTACCAGATTTACAATATATATGAAGTTATGACACAAAATCAAACTTGTTACGTCTATTTTTTACGGCAAAACTAAACGTCAATCAGCAACAACGTAGAACTTAGTACGTACGTACATCAGTTCGAGTTGCCATACCACATATATCGGAAACATTAGGGTTTGAAAATGTTATTTAAGGAGTATAATCCAGCAAAATAAATTTAGAAAGAGAAAAAAAGGACATGAAGAATTCAGAAGATTAGAGTTTGAGGGAACACAGAGAGTGGATGCACCTGCACCATTGCAAACGATTTTGAGCCATGTCATTCAATGTCTCTAACCATCGGTTGCTATCTTCTCGCAGATCCCAACAAGGTAGTCTACACCCACCAACATGGTTCAGTCCACTTGTCAGTGATTTCATGGATTTGTGCCATGTTTTGGTCTGGCCGCCCCTAGTTTCCTTCCAACCTACTCCTACACCATAAAACATTGCACTTCGGGGCAGTCGGTGGTTGAGCATACATAACACATGTTCCAGCCATCACAACTGATGAAGTTTCACTACTTCTCCAATTGATTTGCCATCCTTACCTAGTAAACGTTTCCTAACAACTGCATTACTTACTCGGTGGTCCCAGGATGTACGAGCAATGGTTCGAAGACACATATGATCGAATACTGGTAACCTACGAATATCCTCTACCATTACCGGCCATGTATCACTGCCATAAAGTAAAACTAAACGTAGTATAAAATGTTTTTTTGAAAACAAATTTGTCATTATCAATACATTTAACTAAAATATAGAGATAATTGTTTGAAAATTTCCAGGTTTTCCATTGTGGTTTAGCTTCAATTGACTCATGATCTCAACGATTGAAATAAATTTAAAGTTTAGTATTAAAACAGAATTCACTTTCAAGTATTAAACACATACATATATTTAATAGGAAAAATAAAAGAAAAAATAATTTCACTAACCTGTTGTTATATCTGTAAATTCATATTTGAATTGATTAATTTTAACGGTTAATTCATAAGATTCATTTTCTAAGCGTTCTAATATTGCTAAATCACCTTGTACTGTTTTTGCTAAAGATTCATCTGCTTGATATGTTTCAAGTAGAGCGCTTGTCTATAATGTAATAAATGATAAACTGAGTTATCGTAGAATTAGTAAACATGGAGAACGGTTCAATAATCTTTCATATATATATATATATATATATATATATATATATATATATATATATATATATATATATATATATATATAGTGAATAAGTAGATACAGTTTTATTACCCGTAAATTCCAATCTTTATCGATCAGTGATATCAGAAGATATTTCCTAGTTGAACGGATATTGCATAGAGATATGACAAATAAGCCTTATGGTTAGGTCTTAGTTCAAATAAAGTGAAAAAACCTAAGAAAACAATTTCCTCTAATCACTTTTTTTTTCAAATTATCTCTAATTTTGTTTAATTTGTCATTTGTTATTGGATATATAAGCATATTATTTTACTGAAAAAAATCTTATCCTCCTGGCCACTTATGTTTCTTTTTGACTCCAAGTCAGTTAGGGTCTTGCATTGATGATTGTACCAATACGCATCAACTATTGATCAGCATTCTGTTCATGACCCTAACAATCCCGAACATTCTCATTATTACCTACTATTACTTACGCCTGTTACTCCTCGTGAAGGAGCATAGGCCGCTCACCAGCATTCTCCATCCAACCCTGTCCTGGGCAATCCTTTCCAGCTCTTTCCAGTTCTTATTCATCCTTTTCATATCTGCTTCTATTTCCCGACGTAATGTGTTCTTTGGCCTTCCTCTTTTCCGCTTCCCTTCAGGATTCCAAGTGAGCGCTTGTCTCGTAATGCAGTTTGATGATTTCCTCAATATATGTCCTATCCATTTCCATCGTCCTTTCCTAATTTCTTCTTCAGCTGGAAACTGGTTGATTCTCTCCCACAAAAGGCTGTTGCTGATGGTATCCGGCCAATCAATGTTGAGTATCATGCGTAGACAGCTATTGATAAATACTTGTACCTTCTTGATGATGGTTGTTGTAATTCTCCAAGTTTCAGCTCCGTGCAGTAGAACTGCCTTGACGTTCGTATTGAAGATTCTGACTTTGATATTGGTTGAAAGTTGTTTTGAGTTCTATATGTTCTTCAGTTGAAGGAATGCCACTATAGCTTTGCCAATCCTCGCCTTGATGTCTGCATCTGAGCCTCCTTGTTTATTGACGATGTTTCCCAGGTATGTGAAGGATTCCACATCTTCCAGATTTCGCCATCAAGAGTGATTGTATTGCTGTTCTCCGTGTTGTGTTTGAGGACCTTGGTTTTCCCTTTGTGTATGTTGAGGCCTACTGATGCAGAGACTGCTGCTACTCTGGCTGTCTTTATCTGCATTTGTTCGTGTGTATGTGATAGGAGGGCTAGTTCATCTGCGAAGTCCAAATCGTCTAACTGGTTCTGAGCTGTCTATTGTATGCCGTGTTTTCCCTCAGATGTCGAGGTCTTCATAATCCAGTCGACCACCAGGAGAAATAGGAAGGGAGAGAGTAGACAGCCTTGTCTTACTCCGGTCCTCACTTGGAATGCATCTGTCAGCTGTCCTCCATGCACTACTTTGCACTGTAGTCCATCGTATGAGTTCCGGATAATGTTGACAATCTTCTCAGGAACTCCGTATTGTCGAAGAAGTTTCCATAACGTTCTCCTATCTACACTGTCAAATGCCTTCTCATAATCAATGAAGTTGATGTAGAGTGACGAGTTCCACTCAATTGATTGTTCGACGATGATCTGTAGTGTCGCGATTTGGTCTGTGCACGACCAATCCTTACGGAATCCAGCTTTGAGTTTGTTAGAATCTCGAAGGAAGGCTGTATTGAACCTTGGCAGCGCTGTTTGTCCAGTTGTCCAGTTCTTCTTTACCTTCAGTTTTAAATTGGCCAGAACCACGTGGTGATCTGAAGCTATGTCAGCTCCTCTCCTGGTTTTCACATCTTCCATTGTCCTTCGGAACTTTTTATTGATGCAAATATGATCTATCTGGTTCTCTGTGGTGTGGTCCGGTGAGATTCAAGTAGCTTTGTGTATACGTTTGTGTGGAAATATTGTGCCGCCTATGAACAATTTGTTGAATGCACACAAATTTACAAATCTTTCCCTGTTTTCGTTCCTCTCTCCCAGTCCATGCAGTCCCATGATATCTTCATATCCGGTGTTGTCTATTCCGACTTTGGCGTTTAGATCTCCCATCAGAATGGTGAGGTCCTTTCTTGGGCATTTCTCTATGATTGATTGCAGCCTCTCATAGAATTAATCTTTAACGTCGTCGTTGCTATCATTGGTGGGTGCATACCATTGGATAATGTTCATTGTGATCCCCTCCTTCTTTGTTTTGCATGATGCTTTGATGATTCTGGATCCGTGAGATTCCCATCCTACAAATGCATTTTGTGCTGCTTTGGACAGCATTAAAGCAACTCCCTGAGTGTGTGGGGCATTTTCCTCTTCGTGATCGGAGTATAGCAGCATCTCTACCGTATTTAGCCTTTGTTGTCCAGCTTGGGTCCAATGGGTTTCGCTGATTCCCAGTACTGCCAAGTTGTATCTCCTCATTTCCGTTGCTATTTGACTGGTCTTCCCGGTCTCCCACATTGTCCGGACGTTCCATGTACCTATAAAAATTTTTGCTCTGGTTGTTACCTCCTATAAGTATACCTTTGTACAACCTAATTAAGTGAAAAACTAATGAAGTTTAATAAAGAAAACCAAAATAACTATTTCATGCTGTCAAGTAACAGGATTTTAAGAACTGTGTCCCAACTCACTTGGAGAATAGTGTACACTAAACATTAGTATTATTGAAATACAACAGTTGACAATTTATAAGAGATACGGTTGTTTGGTTTTTTGTTATTGCATGTTAGTTCTTTTTTTGAAAGATAACTACACAACAGTTTTCTAACTCATATTACCGCAATAACATCTGTTGTTACCAGACTGCCTGTTGTCACATTTATTTTGTTTTCTTGTGTCCCAAGGTCGTTAAACGTTACTATAAAGATAGAGTTGTTTCTTCGTAAATTTAACTTGATCACGGAATGAAAAGTTATCCCCATAGTCCCGTCTTCACTAGTAGTGTATGTATTATTTATGTTGAAATGTTGTCGTATGACAAATATCTGGTTTATTCGAGTTCCTATTCGTTACCTTTTATTAAAGAAATCCTCAATCATTCGCAAATACAGCTCATTGTAGGCTAATATTGACAAGCGAAGAGTAAGTGAACCTGACGGTTACTTATTTTGACAAATGTATGGAGTGTAGACGTACCATTCATTTCGACGTGGAACACAAAACAAGGTAAAACGTTAGGATGTGAAATACAGACGTTAAGTTTCATGACTAGCATTTCAAATGCAATTAATTAAGAAGAAAGTACTAATTAAAATTTTTATAAGTAAACAAAACAACAGGCTATGAATTTTTTGTAAACAGTCAATATATAAATAAATAGGGATGCACGTATAACAAACCTACAAGCAGATAAATTATCTCAGCACACACTATATTTTACCTTATCTCGTTGACTGCGTACATCAGCGAGTTTATCTAATTCAGCTTTAATTTTCAACTCTAGAGCAGGGATTATTTCCTCATGTATATTTTTGATCTAGTGAAAAAGAAAAAATGAAAAATTACTTAGCAAACCACTCAGGTAGTAGTAGTCTTAAATAATATTGGTTTCTGACACATACGTGTACCAGTTCAGGTTACCACAACACAATATCAACAAAATAGGACAGAATTATCAAACCAAATATCAGAGTAGTAGAGGTAATCAAAATATCATTAGTAGCAGTGGTAGGAAACATTAATTATAACATGGACAATATGATTTAAGAAAAACGAAAAGGTATAAGTGTTCCAGAACAAGAGTAAGTGCATCTGCTTCATTGTAACTAATTCTGATTAATAACATACATAGATTTGTAAGCAAAGATAGATGATGGCTAGCAGTGGAGCCTATGACGAGCGTTTCGTCCTATTTGGACTCCACTGCTAGTCACCGTTCATCTCTGCTTATAATGCTTGTAACTTAAGGCAGTATGGAGGCAATACTCTTAAGATGCATATATGTCAATAAGAGACGGCTCAACTGCAGTTCTAGAAATCAATGGTAAGATCCAATCAACTAAAAAAACGGATCCATAGATTTGATAAATAATGTTTTAATATAAAATCATTAATCTCTAAGTACTATTTAAATCTCGTTTACTAGGCACAAAAAAATACTGCAAAATATAATTTTTTTTCCTAGATAATTACTGAAATCTAAATATGATATGAAATTTCTTCGTAACAACATGACTTTAAATTGAGAGAGAAGTAACAAGTTTGGAATGACTGATCAATGATACAACGTATCAGTCACCAGCTGAATTACATAAAAGGTCCAAGTTTATTTTGATTAATTCCGAATTAAAAAAAACAAAATGATTAACTCCAATGTTCAACATTTACAAATTGCGAAGTATACAATGATAAAAGATTGCCATATATATATTCTTTTGTGTAGCTATTTCAGAGGAATAGTATGCTGGTAACTCTGGTTAATATCATTCTGCTCTCTTCCTTCCTCATTCAATTTTTATTTTCATCATAAATCGATAATGCATTTATTTATTTAAACACATAAACATTGGTACAAGAAGGCACCAAATAAATATGCGCCACATAAATCATCCGATTTGTGTGAGGGCTGGGATACTACCCGGGTGCCCAAACCGAAGCAGGTAGTTTTCTTAGGGGTCCACATCCCGAGCCTTTGACCTAAAGGTCTAATTCACAAAGCAGTGGAGCAACGTCAAGGGATGTAGTCCCATGGTAGGCGGTGACTGATAATTGGGTCATATGCCGTTTGGTCCTATAGGATCCTGGAGCCCATGTGCACCATTGATTTGGTATCAGGGTTTTCCAACTCCTCTAGATGGATCCTCCATAGTTACCAACTACGTTAAAGCGCCGGACATTCCATTTTCGTCCTCTCAATTTGGTAAATAATACTCCCGCCGTGAGAAGGCATAAAGAAAAACATAATATTGACGTATTAGTATCTGGAAGAAAAAATCCTCACATATTCCGTTAAGTGTGAACAATTTTGTATAATGACAACCTATTTCACAACTAAATATCCACATAATGATTTCACCAACCTCTAAACTTATGGGACGTAATTCAACCAATGATTCAAGACGTGAAACTATTTCTTTCAATTCTTGTTTTTTACGTTCAAATTCAGAAGGTAACGTTTTTATTCGGTTATCAATCTGTGTAAAGCAGAAAATATAATCGTAAAGTATATATAAACATGCTATAAACAAAATATACAAATTAACATTGATATTAACGACATATATCAACAATAAATATTGCTTAAAATTAAGACTGTGGTTAATTATCAATCACATCGGAAGAAACAACTCAAAAATCATCACTACAAATGTAATTACCTCTAGAATATAAGACTTTATTTAACATAATATCAATATGATTGTACTTAGCCATCCCATAAATAGGAAATATTTGTGGATCACAAAAGTTAATTCTCTTAGTTAATTCAAACAAGACCTCATAGAACAAAATTTCTAGTGAAAAGTTTATTGGGAAATAAGCGGTACATAAATGTAAAAAGAATACGATTTTAAAGAATGGTTTGTCTATTGCAACAGTATCTGAATAATTCAAACTACATATGGATTGTTACCAGCTAATATGTCGTGACCAATGAAGCTCAATTATGTAAGGAGGTAGGCAGTTGTACACTAATGCAATCGCACGATAATTATGCTATATATTTGAGAATTGATAGAAGTTATAAATGTCAGGCACTATATGCTGACTCAGTAGTTAGGAACTCGTTCCGAGACCTGAAAGTCTAAAAGCTTTTCTTCAGAGATGCAACTGGCAGTTAAGAGTAAATATGATCAAATTTATTGCATAAATTCCATAGCAACTCAAGATTCGTATACTCAGTCATCAATCATACATTATGTGTATGTGCTAGTGATAATAACCGATCACTCGAATTAAAATAACAGGAGCAGGGGGCTCGAACTAATATATATATATTCGAAAATTTTCTGTGAGACCATAAAAGTGAGTGATCTGAGTAAATATTACCTTTATTATCGTAATTACATGAACAATTAAAATGAAAGACGAAATAATGTTTAATATACACTTTTATATTACTCACTTCATTTAATAATTCATCACGTTCTGCATCACTGTCAAAGCATCGATGACATACTGGACAATCAGAATCTACACGAGACAATCGATCACGAAATTTACACCACAAAAATACACTTCCTTGTTCGTTTGCATATTCTCTGAGGTTAACATAACGAGAAAAATCACAATTACAGAAAATCAATGTAACATACGGTCATAAAATAACGTTAGTATTTAAAAAGATTATTATTAAAATTAAAGTGCATCTAACAGACAAAAGCTGAATAAACAACAATTATTCAAAGCAAAGTCTAATAGATTTAAATGAGGATTTTCATATGACTTTGAGAATGACGTGTTAGCAGATAGCCAGTCAGATTAGGTAATGTTCCATACAGAAACACTTTTAATGTCTCATTATTTATCCAATAAAGGCGAAAACAAAATCAAACAACAGTCTAGAAACTTCACATGCACAATTTTACAACAAACACGGATTTTTGAACTATACAATGACACGGATTAAAAGTCAACAACGAAGTAATCGAGTGAGTATATGCTGCTATGGAGCTGCTTGCGGTAGCGTTATTTCGCCAATGTGAAGCTCATTTACAACATATATGCTTTTTATTCAGACTTAATCACAACGGCTTCGACAATTCCGTTTAATTTTCGCTCAATCCTCGAGATTTTCAAATCTGCTCTAAACGTGTTTATCAGAATAACATTGTTTAATAAGCTTATGTACGATTATTGTTAAACTTTTAACTAGGTCATTACGTCTAGGTATTAAACAACTCCTAAATATAATTTATCATGAGGATGGATATTGATGGCTACTAGTTATTTACTAAATGCAGACTAATGCAGCTTAGAGGCAAATTATTGTTATGCCATAAATTCTCCTCTAGACGTCTTCAAACAATACTACTCATTGTTACCGGCCTCATGTGTTTCGGAAACTGATATATTGAGGACGATGGATTTCTATTTTATCCTCCACTGTATATCAGAAATTTTAGTACAAAATTCAAGACAGTTATATTGTACGGAGCTGAAACTTGGAGCGCAATAATACAGTATGTGACTCATTTGAAACATATTTGTCATAGTGAATAAAGAATTCGCTAAAAGTGACTGTATACTGACGTTTGATTTGCCTGTTACTCCTCGCGAAGGAGCATAGTCTGCTTACCAGCATTCTACATCCAGCCCTTTCCTGGGCAATCCTTTCCAGCTCTTCCCAGTTGTTATTCATCGTTTTCATATCCGTATACTGAAGGTGAACAATATTCTATATGGAACTGTCAGAAGTGTAGTTAGATTTAATTTATTTGGAATTAGCGCTTCACATTGACCAAATCTTTCACAAGAAATAATTACATCGTGTGAACAAATAACATCCAATATGACATCATCTAGAATTTTATCAGAATTCGATTCCTCCGAAATATTTGCCTTAGATTTATTGAGGACTTCGCTGAAAAATAATGAATCATCAGAACAATCGGCATCTAACAAAATTGCATCACTTTCTATCGGGATTTGATAAATTCGACATAATTTCCCCAGGTCCATAAGGAAATTCACTAGAAATATTTCAACAATTAGGAAAGCGTATATCTGGTAGAATTGCATAAGAAATCTGATCACAAATTGCTTGTCTTCCGATGATTCTGGATTTCACTTGATACACTTGCATCCAGTGCTTTGCTCCGATATTTTTCTGTACATAAGCCTTTCACAAGAGCCGTTGTTGGTAATTTTTGTGTTAACTTCGTACTTGTCGAGATCATACCGTCGGAGGCAGAAATTCGTGGTAGAAGGCGAGGTGTGCATTTTTAGGGTCGGTATTTCAAACTCCGCTCTACTTTTATCGGAAGGTAGCATCGCTGTTATGCTGGTTATCTGGCAGAAACACCCTATTGCCGTCACACTTCTGTACAGTCAGCTGTACGACCGCATCCTCGGACAAATTTTCTTCACATTAGCGAAGCTACCGAAAACAGTTCGATAACACCCTACAGATGCTCGGTAATTCCGAGCATGACGTTTAAACTCTCTATGGTAACTGCATCCTTGTTAGCTGTTTTATACTAGCATTTAATACTTTCTTGTCGAAGTAGTGCTATAGTTTTGGGGACTTATCTAGTGTATCAGCGTTTGAACAATACTAAGCAATAAAGGTAACTTTTTCAAATAAGAAAGACTTAGGAAAATCAAACAAAAATGAAGTATGAGAAATTATAGGATCTGTTTATCGTCCTTGTAATTTCAGAAATAACTGATATGTATTGTCAACGACAAAAACAAAACCGATAACTGAGTCAATACTTAAAAATTTGAAAATATTTCTTTGAAAAAAACTCACTCCTCTAAAGAGCCACGTCTATCTTGAAGATTAATAAGAGTTTGTTCGAGATCATCTGCTCCAGGTACAGATAAAAGCTTTCCTTCTAATATTTTTAGTTGATCTCGTTTTTCTTGTAGATGATTTCTGTAAAGTATATTTTTAAAAAAAGTTTAAACCAATTGAACTTATAATAAAGAGTCTACATATTCATTCAAGTTGTAAATACAAAACATTTAAAACTTATGAAATTTTTACTAAACATAATTATTAGTTCTGTTTTAACAATCTATCTCAGCATCCCTTTGCTTGCTCTCCTATCTGTTCTAACCATAATACTTATTTAGTAATCCATACCTCTAGTTATTATCAAGAAATTGTGGCTTACAACTCGGAAAAATATCTCAATTGTAATATGTTGTTATTTCAAAGCATTCCCATGTACCTCTGAAGTTTTAATCAATTTTTATAATAATTGTAATTATCTATCATGGATATTGTGTTTGTATTCAGTAACAAAAAGAATATAACCGTAATTCGGAAGAATTCTCTAAAACGTTTACATGATAGAACAAAACATTTTACCTGGTAAATTTAGAAGTAGCTTCAAGCGATGAGCGCTCTTGCTCAATTTTAGCCAACTGTTTTCTTGTCTCTCTAGTAGACTGTTCCAATTCATTAAGTCGTTTAGAGAACACAACCTTTAAACGTGTTTGGTCATTAATAAACGATCGAATATTATTAGGATTCGCTTGTTCTTCAAGTGATTTTTCTGTAGCTACAAAAGGAATCACAGAGCCAGCGAAAACTTGTTCCAATGCTTCAGCATGACGACTTCGTCTTAAAGAAACAAAAGCAAAAGTTTGAAACAAAGGGAACAGTAAGAAGTATTATCAACCGCAGGACTATTGACACCAAAATATTAGACATTCTAAATATTCATAAAAGTTTTTAGCTCTACAGCTTACATTTTGCGAATCCCTTCAAGTTTATTCGCTCGTTCTTTCTGCATGAGTTCTAATTCACGATACTTACTGGCACATTTTTGAAATTTAGCAATTTTTTCACTAAAAAAATAATGAATTTGGGAAGACAAACAGATTATTTGTATTTAATTATGAATTATCAAATTCAATATGCAAGCTACGATATAACAAACAATGAATCCAGAAGAGCTACATGTCGGGGATTCATAGAGCTACAAATCATGAAGTAATTACTTTTAGACATATTGCTAAAAATGGTTCGAATATTTGTCAACAGTTTGTTTAGGAAGAATAATAATGAGAAATGAAATGCAAACTACAATATGACATGAAAGACAATGTGCTAAAAATTAGTTATTTATGTCTAAATCAAGTTTAGCACAGTATTCAAGGAAAGGACTCTTTAATCGCATCAACTGGTGATATATAAAGGATTTGTCTCTGTTGACAAAATGACAGAGTTCACAATTCCGCCGTAGGAATATAAATATCAGGGTGAAATTTACTACAAAAACAAACACTTATTGCCAATGGTAAAGAAAAATAAGGACTCGTCAGCTGGATGTACCTTCATCTCAGAGTTGGTACATCCAGCTGACGAGTCCCAAATAGGACGAAACGCGCGTCCTGCATTCCACTGCTAGCCACTATCCGTCTTTGCTTATAATGCTTGTAAATTAAGGCAATATCGAAGCAATACGCACAGTATGCAGATATGCCAATAAGAGACTGATCAATTGCAGTCCTAAAAATCAATAGGAAGATTCAAGTAAAACAATATCAAGTGAATTAAACTTCACCCCATTGCACAAGCAAGGGGCTATCAGGAATCAGTAGCTAGGTGGATAACGCGATGGTGTTTGAAGCGGACGGTCCTGGGTTCGAGTCCCGGAGTGAACATCAACTCTGAGATGCAGGTACATCCAGCTGACGAGTCCCAAATAGGACGAAACGCGCGTCCTGGATTCCACTGCTAGCCACTATCCACCTTTGCTTATAATGCTAATTTCAGAAGGTTTGGTATTTCTAGGTTAAAAAAATATTGTCTGTTTACACAAAGATTGCTTTTGTAGACACATTTTTTTACTATTAAAATCACTTCTCTAACATTGGGATGATCAACCAAATTAGATTAGACAAGTGAAAACCCGGGAGCAGTGAACAGCTCTTTCATCTAAGCATAGGGGTTCGACCGTGTCGGGTGTGAGGTAGTTATCCAGAAGTAATGGAAGATGGTTGGGTACTAATGTAGATTGATTGAATTTCAATGCGCACACCACTAGATGTCGACTCGGTGGTCAAAATTTTAAGTTTTTCTTGTGAGATCTAAACACCCTGAGAATGTACATTGTTAATGAGGTTCAATACAAGGACGAAATAGTTGTCTAGTACTCCCTGGTTTCCAGTGTTTGTTTAAATTAGGTTGAATAGTGATCACAATAACATTTAACAGTCCTCACAACTATCCACACTGATACATTACAATTAGTCTAACTAATGATTTTTTGATAAAAGTTTTAGAGAAATATTGATAGATGGTTGGAGGTAGTTGAAAAGAAATTATGGACCTAAGTTTTATCCTACTTGGCACTAGTCAGCAAGCTATGGAAGTAATCTTGAAAGAACCTGTGCTCCCTGGCGTATTCGATCCCGTTTTACTCAGCCTCTTCACACTTTGAGTCGTTGTCACTGAGCTACTTAGACCCCAACTAACCTTCTAATGGACTGAAATATTTACAAGTGACTGATCACTGAGTAGTGACCAGTGTCATAAGTATTTATTTCATTTAGGACTGCTTGAATTGTATTAATCTTTAAGATCAGCTAAAATTAGCGGAAAATCGAGAATAAGGATTAACTAAATCAATTTATTTTTATTGAAAAAATTTGTAAGTAGTATAGTATCATATAAATAACAGCGACCATAATTACTCTAATAAACTGATATTATGTTCCAGTTCCTTTTTCTTTCCCAACGATTCTGTTATGGATTGATTTAAGTTGTTCAATTCATGATCCGTATTCAAATCTTTAATGGTGATTTCCTAAAATAGATAATTCAGAGTTAACACTGATAATTATTTCTAGGAACACCTTACAAAATTTAATGTAATTTGTGAGGATTTGTATTAGCAGCAACGTCCTTAATGTTCAATACAAACGTCATTCATAGCACTTTCAGCATATTTCCATTCAATTAGTGAGTGTACAACATAACGGATTTCATTTCCAGTGACCGGAATTATGCAGAATTATTTTTTGTGAACACATTAATTTAATGCATACGATATGCCGGAGGATAAACACAGTAAACGTTACAGTCTAAATGTAACGTTCAGTGAAAAGTACACTTCAATATGTAGCACCCACTGACTAAACGAACAAAAAAAATCACTGGAAGCACTGAGTACGAAGCACTTATCGGATACTGAAAACATCGTCAGTCAGTCAGATGCACCTGGCCCCCAAATGCCCTGGTACGGCCGAGAGTGGGGAGAGTCCGCTCTCCCTCTCGAAATGCTCTCTCTGTTTGGGCACCCGGGCAGTATCACAGCCCTCACACAAATCAATTGAGATTTGTGTGGCGCATATGTATTTGGTGCCTCCCTGTACCTATACTTATGTGTTAAAATAAAATAAAAATAAAAATAACAGGTGCACCTGACTGACTGACGATGTTTTCAGTAGATAACTTCATTCTAAGATAAATTTTCAAAATGCACCCAAACATCGTAACCACACAATACAGTGAGCATGAAAGTTACCTTATAAAGAAAACGCACTTTGGATTAAATATAACACTAAATATACGTTTCTCAGTCATCAACTGAGTTGAAACATATCTAACTCAATTACTTACATATAAACTGTATTATTATTTTATAGCAAATAATGATAAGGCTTTCAAAGTAAACATGATTAGTTTTAGGATTATTTTTACTGGAATTAAAATTTATTCATCAACTGATCACGAAAAAAATGTTTGAAAATGTTCCATAATATGTTTATTGAGAAATCATGCAGTTGATTTCTCCCAATGAAAATTAACTAACCCGTTTTGATTAAAGTAAAAAGAACTTTTTATCTATGAGTAAAGATAGAGTGTCGCTAACAGTGGAATCGGGAACTTGCGTTTTTTCCTGTTCAGAACTCGTCCGCTGGATGCATTTGTAGAGCTGATATTTACACCGTGACTCGAACCTAGTAACATTCGCTTCAAATATCATCGAGTTATCCACCTAGTTACAGAGTCCAGATAACCACTAGCTTATGTAATGGGGTGAAGTTTATTTTATTCTCTGTCTATAATGCTTGTGACTAAAGGCAATATCGAGGCGACCCGTACAGGAAGCATATATATCAATAAGAAACATCAATTTCAGTCTTAAACACCAATAATAAGATTCAAACAACCAGTACAAAAATGAATTATTTATTTGTTTTAAAATTTATTTCAGTTAGATGAATATTAATTCAACTGACAAATTTATTTTAGTAATTGTTTACAAAATAACTAAAAAATTAAAATAAGTAAATAAACTTCATTAATGATTATTAACACTTACAGATTTATGAAATTCATCTCTCACTTTTTCAATACGTTCATTTAATGAATTTTCATTTTCCAAGCGTTTTTCAACACTAATCATTTCACATGATCGTTGATTCTAATTTAAGAAAAAAATGTTTACACAATTTATTATATGACTGACTTTATGTAAACTTGTTAATCTTTTGTAAAGAACATATGTGATGTGAACAGAAAAATAACGATGCCATGACAAGCAACGGAATCTATTTTGAGACGTTATTTCACTTAATTCAAAATTTGTAGGATGCTAACATTTAGTTTTGTTCCTAGTTTATTCTATAAGCTTTTCTGTTCCAGAGTTATTGTAATTTAGACATAACCTTTTGTACTCTATTTTTCTACTTCATACTTGCTAACAATTGTAGCTAAATCTTTCGAAAGACGTATGAATCATCATGGTGATTTTTTCTTAAATAATATTATCATTTTATCCACAGAATAGTTTGTATATAAAGACAACTAAAGAATAAAAGGTAATGAATTGCGTCACCAAATAGAAGAAAAATACATAATAACGTTAGCATACATAATTACGTTTTAGAGTTTGTATTTTTTGTTTTAGAGCAGCCAATTCATCTCGAACAACATCAACATCAGTTTGAGCTTTCCTCTCTTCATTAGCCGATAGCAGCTAAATGAAAAGACAAAACATTGAAAAAAGTAATAATTTCAGAATTCATACAAAGAAAAAGAAATACTTTTATTCAGAAGAAATGTGTATGAAGAAGATAATTCATTATTCTGCAGGTGATGTATTCATCACTAATTGATCTCAGGTGTTTCGTTCTAATATGTACTTAGTATACACAAGTGTTCTAGTGGTATGGCACTCACTGTGTACCCAAAACGTCCTGGGTTTTGATCCCTAGTGGGTTGTAAATGATAACTGCAGAAGAGATCAATACTAGGAAGAAGTACATACCCAGTCCTCCCTGAATTTTAATGATGAGGCCAACTACTTACGAACACCACTATACGGGTTAAAATAATCACAATTCATTTAAGTTAAAACGACAAAAAGACAATCGTTTAAAATGACAATTTTTCTATGGAATAATAGAATCAAAGGAAAATAATCTACAAAATGTGAAAATGTAGTATTGAACAACAGAAGAAAAATTTGATTTCTATGAACTTTCAGGGAGGCTTTTGAAGAATTGAAACAAAGACTAAATAAAAGAATTGCTATAAAATGAAGAAATTTTTGGAAGGAATAATGAAAAAATTGATACATTCTAAATATTATAAAATATACATTTTATGATCTCCAATTGAGCATTTGGTGAGATTGTAATTTACGGACGACACATGACCAGCGCTAAAATGACCATGGAATGTCCACTTACTTACTATGGTTAAATGAAGATTACAGGTTAGTATGAGGAATTAGGATTAGGATTTACAGTTGAACATTAGGGTTAGTAATAAGCTTTAATGTTTCCATTACGAACTGACATCAGTTATAATGCTAAAATGATATTTAGTCAAATGAATGAATGGGTTTCGTGCCAAAATCCAAGACCTGTTGTCTTAAATCTGGTTGGTTCGTTAAAAAATGATAGCCTCGCCGAGTGTTTTTATTTGAGAGAACACTTATGGATTATAATTTGATGTGGTTAAAATAAATTTTGTCACCATTATCGATAAATAACAATAACAGGAAACATTTTGCATCGATTTTTAAAAAAACTATGTCAAAAGATGAATGGATTCTAGAAAATGTTTTTTAACGAAAAACTATAATGTATCAAGCAACAAATAAAAACTATCAATTTTAAATCACAAACTTATTTTAGCTAAATCAACATTGTAAAACATGGAAGCGCTAAACAACCATTTCATCATAATATGAGACTTTTTAGTAATGCGCATCCACGAATACGCTTCCAGAAATAGCATCTAGAAGCTGCAGTCTCGAGTGAGAACGTCTAACATCAAGACCGATAGCCCAGCATTCGACGGTGCTGATGTCTAAGTTCAATCAATTCATGATGTTGATGAACGATTATCTATTTTTACAGTGGAAAAATTTCCAACAAAGATTGAACCCCAATGATTACGCCTTCTTACTAGATCTCCAGAAAATCCATCATGAAGCTAGTCACTAGTGAGTACATGATCAGTTCGTGATTTAAAACTGTGAAAATTCTACAGCTTCTACAAATCCCCCATATTAAAAATAAAAATTCCGCTGTATTTTATATTATTGTCTATGGAAAGTGAATAACCTGTTAGTTCAGCTGTAATTAACTGGTTAGTAAATGACATTAAATAACTACCAGAAGATTCACTTATAATTTATGGGTTAACCTTAAAACTCAATAAAACATGAGCATTTTACGAATTGCGACTAGACAATAGCACCATTGATTCTATATGCCAGAATAAAATTTATAATATAACAACATACAGGTTACTTAAATAACATACTAGTTAGCAATCAGTGCCCGTATGCACAGGAAGTAATTTCTACCATCAAAGTGTTAGGCAATTTTGTAAACTGAAAGCTCATTTCAACCCAACGACCAACGAACATCTTATATCCAGTTGAACAAAATAGCCTCATAAGAAAATCATAAGTGGTACATCATAACTATACAATACATTAAGCATAGAAAAAAATACTGAAAATATACAACAATCAAGTGCTCCACATATATTGAAGTGCACAATCTTACCTTCACTTCTGTTAATTGATTTTCATATTCATGTAGTAATCCATCAACAAACTGCACAATATACTCCACATCCACATCGGTGAATTGCTTTACATTTGCATACTTATCACCTGGTATAAATAAAAACATGTTTAATGAAACAATCATCTTCAGTATGTAAAAAGAAGTGTTTAAATTAATTTATACTAAAAAAATGAGCAATATGCTCAAATACATACATATATCAAGTAATACTCAGTGTTAAAAGAATTAACAAAATAAGTAATACAATAAGATATATCTACACTGTTGCTATTAATAGATTTCAGAGACAACTTATGTATATAATATATCAAAAATAATAATAAAACTCTTTCGCTTGTGTAAATGATACATTATTTAAATATATGCCCCTAATGCGATACGGTCGACAGTAGGGAGTCAGCTTTAACTTTCGAAATGCTCTCACATGACCATGCGTATATGGCCACTTCTAAGGAAGTCCTATTCACTTCATTCTCGAGGCGGTGTTGTCTACGAGATTGAAAGGACGAAAAGCTAACGGTCAGTGCTCTAACCGGGTTGGTGAGTACGGAAGATCTACTTAGGAGTGTTAGAATACCCTGTTTACAAACTAGTGATGCACATGGGTCCCAGGATCCTGATGGAACAAAAGAGGTATGAACCTATTGTTGATCACTGGCTATCGTGAGACTGTACCTCCCAACGTTGATCCACTGAGTTTTGGATTACACCTCTAGGTCAAGGGCTCGGGGACTGGCCTCCCAAGGAAAGCATCTGCTTCGATTTTGGCGCCCTGACAATATCATAGCTCTTACAGAAATCGGATGATTAGTTTAGCGCATATATAATTGATGCCTCCTTGTACCAATGTTTATATGTTCAAGTAAATAAACTTTAATTATATATAAAATAACTCAGAGAACTTATACCAAACTATGTAACAATTAATTCGATAAAAGGAATAATGTTCAAAGGCATGCTATCATTTTAAACATAGAATTCTTAATTGTACATTATCGTTTAGATGATTAGCCTTTCATTTCAACTAATCAGTTAATGATAGATTTACTCTTTTTGTTATCTTAATGGTTATCATATTATATCCCCCCACCTCATTGATATTTAATTCAATCTCGTCACTACTCTATATTGATTTTAATTTTAATATTATTAAAAACATGGAGGTAAATGAACAGTTGTTTTATTCTGGTATAAATGAACTTATTGAATAGAATCGCATTGAATTAATTGTTTTATAATTTACTTATTTTTCTTGAAAACAAAGAAAAAAGACTGAATAAATATTTTTTTACAAAATGAAGAATTTATTTGTATCGTAATTTCTTAAACATGATTAAATTTTCATATAAATTAAGTGAATTATTAAAACGTACCGGGAATATAATTTGTAACAATTGAGGCTAAGATCATATCACGATTGATTATTGCTTCATTCAAATGCTAAGAAATTTAAGATAGTATACTTTATGAGGGATGGAGATAAAAAGTTAAAATAATTATAGAGAATCACGTGCAATTGAGTTTGTTTTCATTTAATTCGGTTAAGCCCTTTTATTAACTTATTTAGCGGACAAAGTCATCTGTGCTATAAGAACTTACTGTACCTTTATTATTGTTGTGCTTGTATGAAATATGTATGCTTCAACATTGTTTACTGCCTAGGCATATATTCATTCTGCTAGCTTTATTATTAGTTGCTTAATCGATTCGATGATCCATTCATTTCTCTCTCTCTCTCTCTCTCTCTCTCTCTCTCTCTCTCTCTATATATATATATATATATATATATATATATATACATTTAACACTGCACACTCTACATTCTCGGTTCTTTGACTCAGTCATTAGCCTCTCTGCTTTGTGGTTTGAGTTATCTGCTAATAAAACTGTATTCACTGCTTCTCTTTGCCTTCTGATTTCAAACACCGTTGAGGATTATATGATAACGGTTATGAGGGTGACTGGTTAACAAAGCACAGCCACTACATAATAATTAGGCTGAACTTTAAATTATTTATCTCTTGAAGCATAATCAACAGTAAATAGAATTTATTCACTCTAACAACTGATAATATTAATTTGTAATCTTAATCTAATTGATACATGTTAAGAATACGATCAAAGCTTAGTTCAACACTCATTAAATAGATAATACTAGAATAAGGCAGTTACACTGAATTTGCAAATCTCTAGATAGGGTTATACAGTTATTGCAACTCAGCTAGTTGAGACGTATACAAACATGACTTGGACTAGAAGGCAGTGACGATTCTGTGATAGTTTTTAAATACACTTTTTATAAACAGTAAGATGTTTTTTCCCCAAAAAATGAATAAGATATATCTTGATTGTATTTATACTAAAACTGTATAGATTATTCCCACGATTCATCCATAAAGTATTACTAGGAGAGATAAAATACGATTCGTTACCATGGGGCAACTAACAATTATTCAGTAAACCCGAACTCCTTATTAAAGTCAATCTCATTTATTATCTGAACAAAGACAATTACATTCAACTGTTCTGAACAGTGGGTTTATCTAAATATATGATGAACAATTCATTTGACCAAACATTCATTTTTTATTTATTTATCTTCATTTTACGCATTCTGAAACATGGTTTACTCAAATCATCTATAAAGTTATCGGACTTCATCAAAAATTCGCCGATCAGAGATGGTATATAGTTAGTGAAATTTTTTTTCTCACCACAGATCCACTTGCATATACATACAACTGTTATCTTAACACACTTTACACACCGGATGTTCCGTACGCACGACAGTAAACTCTTACTTCTAACATTGTTTACATGATTGGATGACCTGTATGGTATATAGTTAACCAGAGAACCGTGTACTTATGCATATTCTTCAATTTTGGGTTGCGGAGATTGTTAAATTTAATCGAGATCATCAACCAATCAATGCTACGCCAACAATGGAAATCTAGAAGCACTGAACGGCCGTCTCGTTCATGTATGGGATCACTAAGCAGTGCTCATCCACGATCTAGCACGGGTGGTTTAAACGTCTAACCTCTCTAGACCATTGAGCCGGCACTCAAAAGTGTCTAATTTCATTCAGTGCTTCCAGATTTTACATAGTGGTCTAACACTGATCAGTTCATGATTTCAATAAAATTCAGCGATTTTCACAACCTCAAACTGAAAATTATCATCACGTGCTCACTATTGACTAGATTTGAGAGGTAATTCTGAGTTTAGTGAGAAGCCATAACAAATGGAGCTCAGCCGTACGGGTGTGAGGCGGCTACTTACTGAAAACAATGGGAGATGGTCGTGTAACATCGCATATTCATTGAAGTTAGAAATTAACACCGTTGGATCCCCGCTCAGTGATTTAGGGGTTAAGCGTCCGCGCGAGAATGAAGGTCCTAGGTTATTTATATTCGGTAATTTTGATATTTGATTACATCTCTTTGAAAAAGCTTGAACCAGACTGCCGAGCAAAATGTTGAATTTACTTCTATATGTTATAATACTTTTTTTCAAAAAAGATACAGAATTATGAGAAACCAAAAGAATCAGTCAGCATTTTCTAGCAACAACAAAAAATATGAATAGAATAAGGAATACACACAAAATGATCCAGTATACAGTATACGCAAAAGAGAAAATACACAAACCATTTTACCTTAACCTCCATTTCAATTTGTGTCTTCTCGACAATAGTTTTTGTTTGATTCGTTTCTAAAGTATTTAACTCTTTACGTTTTCTTTGTAACATATTTTCAGACTGAAAAGTTAAATAAGAAATGAGATATGAGAAATGGAGTAAAATGGAAAACAAATGAATGAGTATACACAGAGGAAGTTAAGTATGATCATGAAATTATATATTCATGATGAAGAACAAAAAAAACTACCTGGAGTGTCATGAAAGTAAACAGAATTTCCCAATCGAAACCATTCGCAAACACCATATTCAACAAGCCACTTTGAATGTTAAGCGAAACGTATTTGACTTAGTTTTGACTTTCCAATCTTTATAAACTAATTTCTTTCTAATTGATAAGGTTAGAACAATATTATTGATGGGTCACAGCAAAAGAAGAAATAAAGAATATAAACAATTTCGCTGCGGAAAGTTTTAAGGTTAAACAAATAAGTGATATTTATTGTGGATGTATTTAGTGTCATTGAGTTTTTGTGATGAAAATCAGTAACTGCGCATCCATTTGTCTATTTATAATGAGTTCTCTTGTATTACAATAAGCTAGATAAGAGTCTTTTAACAGTTGAATTCACGAGTCGATCAAAGCTAGATCACCATTGAAAATCTTGATGTGTACTGCTGAGAAGTCCCACACTAGGACGAAACGGCCGTTCAGTTCTTCCAGGTTTCCAATGGCAGTCTAGCTTAGATCAATTCGTGAATTCAACTATTAAATACTACAATCTACACAAATTCTCTTACTGATAAATGAGAGTTATTATACATTTCATTGACAGTATGAAGATAAAATACACTAACTTGATTCAACAGAAAATTTTTCTTTTCGTATTCTGTCTCAGCATCTTCAATCAAATGCTTTAATTCTTCATCACTTCCTTTAATAAAAAGAATTAGGTTACAGAATATTATCAGGCAAATATTGGAGAATGTTTACAGATCCGAATTTAATTATATAATTTCCAGTAAATTTACTGATTATTATTGGTTAAAGCTTACAGAAGACTAAACTTAGACAGCAATAGAAAACGCAGTAGCACTGGACAATTGTTTCATCTTAGAATGAGAATCCTCAGTAGTGCGCATCTACGATCCTACCGGAGATCGAACTCACTACCTTCAGGTCTAATGAGGAGCGTTTGAACGTTAAACCACTGAACCGGCATCCAATGATTTACACGTCTAACCTTAATCAATCCGTGATATTGTGCAGCCATCTTTATCAGTGTTGATATGTAGCTGTCTCAGACTCAACATGGTTGAACGCCACTGATCACAGCTTCTAACGAAATCTCAGAGGATTACCTTTCGAAATTAATAGCCAGTGTGTATTAAAGTTAGTTCATGGTGTAAACTATAAAATTCAACAATCTCCACAAATATCCTATTCTAATAATTGTTGGTTAGTTTTCATAATAAGTGAAAATCAACTCAAGTAATAATTACAACTATCTGGGAACCATTATTTGTATAAAAAGTAACCACACTATTATTGACTGAGATGGAAAGGATAGACCACTACATATTAACTTAGCGATCTGAAAGTAGTACAATTTCGAAAAGATAATGAAAAGACTGGGTTCTCAGTTAATAGTTTAAATGGTGTTTAACAAACTAATAAATAATTGTACGCTAAATCTTAAATTACAAAAGATGAAGGAGGCTAGATATACTACAAGAATGTTCAGTAGTTGAGATCGGGATTTCAAGCGTACAACCAAACTAATTATAACCTGCATAGACTGTACATAGAGATTACAAACAGACAATATTGTATTATCTGAACCTTCTGAATGGCATAATAAAGCTGAAAATCAAAATCTGCGTAAAAATTAGTAACAGTGGTTACGAGAGGCTATCAAACAATAAGAAATAAGCAGAAAAAAATGAGTAGATTACTGGAATTGTTACCTTGATACTCGTTCTCTATGTTTAACATTAAATTCCTTATTGTATCTGTTAAATGAGCACGTTCAGCTTCACAAGACTCTGCAAAACATTTTTTTAAAAAGATTCAATTTGTTATTAAATTCTAGTTTAAAGTCATTAAAATGATCAGACAGTTAGAGTTAATATACAGGAAGATCTAAAACCAGATCTCATTCTTTCGTATTCTAATGATTAGTAAATGAAATACATTTAATAATGCAAATAATATAAACATAAAGATTATTTATTTTATGATCAATTTTAGGAAACAAGATACATAAAATTTAGATTTTATATATTCATCGAAAATGACATTTATGAACACTAAGGAAACGAAAATTCAGGAATACAAATTTCTATTGATTGGTATCGCAAAATTAATAATAATAATAATAAATAAATAAATAATAACAATAATAATAATAATAGTAACAATAATAATAATAATAATAAAACTTACTGATTTCAGCTTGTAGTTTTGTTAGTTCTGCGTAGCGCTCTTTATAACGGTTGAGTTGTTCCTTTAGATTAAAAATAAATTTTTTATTAATTCACAATCAGTGTTATAATACAAAGTTCGAAACTAGTGATTGTACATTAGCTGACAGATAAATAACTTAAGAGTTTAAGTTGAGATCATGAACAGATCAATGTTAAGCGACCAATAGAAACCTGGAAGCGTCGGATGGTCCTTTCGTCCTGGTGTGGGATTCCCCAGAGGTGTGCATCCACCATCTCGCACGCGGGATCCAAACCAAGGACCTTCTATCTTGCGCGCAAACACTTAACCTCTAGACCGTTGGGCCGGCATCCAACGGTGTTTATGTCTAACTTCAACCAATCCACGATTCTGCACAACCATCTTCCATTGTCTTCGGTGAGTAACTGCCTCACAACCTAAACAGTTGAACTCCGCTGGTCACGGCTTAAAAGTTACCCGTTCAAATTCAACATAAACTTTGGAGGGGATTAGCCTTAACCATGTATCGACTGTAATTAAATGAAATTTAATGTTGTGTAAAATGTAATCCGAACAATTGATTATAAACTTTGCTAGATGTCAAAACTAAGCAAAACAATCTCATTTAAAAAGGATAAGAGAGGAATATTTCTAGTGTTCTTATAAACGAATGATTTTTCAAACTATTTTACAGTACTAAAATTTAGGCGATGTAATTATAAGAGCGATAATCCTATTATGTTATGAATATACAAATATATATGCCAAAAATTATTGTGAATCCAATAGCTATATATTGACAAGAAACGATTCACCCTCCAATCGCTAAACACTCATAAACCGAGTATACCAAACCGAAACATGTTTATCCCAAGATTTAAAACCATACAAGTTATCATGGCAGTTTCAGATCAAAATGCTAGTTTGTGTTGCAATGTTGAATTGTGCCTGCAACCATAACATTAGTCGACAAAGTAGCATTATCAAAATATCTCTTAATCCCTTAAATATTCTAACGTGAATATAATATTAGCTAAATGAGAAGTGTAGCTACAAAAAAAACGGATGAAATGACAAGACAAATCGTATAACTATGATCGACATCTCGTTAATGGACAAATAAGACTCGTCTGTGAATAAAGAATAACTTCCAGTCCCAACTGAAGTCAACTGTGATAAACTCGATTTCTATCAAGCTGTGATAAATCTTCATACTGAATTTCATCAATATGTAAGCTTTGTATGGTTATAAACACAACACATTCGTCATCGTAAAAACAGATGAGCTGGAAACCACCTACAATCTGGTCAACGTCTTCGATGACATAAAGTTCACAATGGAACAGGAGTCAAACCAAAAACTATCATTCTTGGATGTTTTAATTACCAGAACCGACACAGGAAAACTGGAGACTCAAGTATATCGGAAGCCGACCCACAGAGATCAAATTCTCAATTACAGTCAGTCAGCTACAACGTAGGACCAGGCACATATGTGCATCGGCCTAAGTTCCAATATCTCATTAGCACAACAAGATGAACACCGGATTCATAGAAGTAGTTAATTTAGTGGTGGTAATATATAAAAGAAAGATTGCATACAAAGACATAGTACAGGAAGAAAGATATGAAACGATTACAGTAGCAGCAATCCAAGCACTAACAAAATTAACTGCTTACAAATTTTATTAAAGAGCAAGAGGAGACAATGCAACACACTTGCATCGCGGAAAAATAAAGAAAAATATCCAAAGACAATCTTTCAAAGGAACGGTTAGCCAATCAACTTTATCAAAAAATACCAACCAAGCGTATCAGCAGAAAAAAGTCAAGTACAGAAACCAACAAACGGATCATCCTACCATACATAAAAGACATATCAGAAATTACGACGAGATTGTTGAAGTCTTTTGGAATAGGTGTAGCACACAAACCAACGACGAAATGACAAAAAGAGAAGAGCTGAACGTAATCTACTAAATAAATTGTTCCAACTGCGAAAAACACTACATCGAACAAAGTGGACGCCTTCTTCATCCTCGCCTGCACGAACATCAATCAGCGGTCTAACTCCATGACATATCCTCACTTATATCAATGCACGTGGACAACTGAGGATACACATCCGATTAAAAAAAATGTTGAGATCTTGGATAGGGAATGTCTTAGAAGCTTGACACAGGTCAATCGGCAATTTTCAAACATATTGAACCTGATCTAATCTATCAACGGATCAGAAAAATTATGGACAAATATAGGACCAAGAATCAAATCGATGAACGATACAATCAAAATAAAGAAGTAAACAATGACAGGTTAAAGGCCAACAATAACCAATCAACATCGAAGTCTACAGGACAAGCTGTGAGCCATATATGGAGAAATTAGAACACTTCACTTTTACCTGGATTTGGTTCTAATGATATCTTTCAGAAAGATGATGAAAGCTTCACGACAAAACCATCTAGCTCAGAGAACAAAACTCCATCAAAAACTAATAAAAATCACTATTATTCACGTGCAATTCTAATGTACAAATAAGAACAAGATATGGTAGGAACCAATCGACGCGACCAAGTCACTAACCAGTATTGTATGTTTTAGAGACCGTCAGCATATATGAAAGACTTAAGGCACAGTAAAGGAACTCGTCTTTAGTAGATTGTATCATAAAGCTAGTAATATATATTTAGGTGCACTCTGGAACATTGAAAGGATTTTAAATTTATTACAAGACTAGGTTTGAAAAGTGAAAAAATTTCTACAAGTGGATCTCTAAATCGGTGTATTTTTTTAAATCGCACGGTTAACTTTGAATGGTTTCGTTCAGAAGACCAAATAAAGATTCCCAAAAAACCACAGAAAGACTATTTCGTTACAATAGGTGAAAACAATACTGAAACATATCCCGTAGTTTTGATGCGGAAATTACACTTGTTGGAAATATGTAAAACGATATCCCGTATAGTCGGAAAATTCATAGTATAATAACTGTTCCGATTTGTTCAGAATATTTTGACATGCTATGTAGAATGCTCTATTTTTCGGCGTTGTGTTGTATAAGGTATTTTTTGTGCGATAAATACATGAAGTAAACACAAGTTGAGTTTTAAACAGCTTTAATCAAAATTCTTGACAGCCAATAAGTAATTTAAAAGCTAGGTCTTACTGACTTCAATTGACAATTTTTTTCATATTTATACAACTGATTGTATGATAAACATGCCTTCATTTATATCTAGTTAAAAGTTAAACTACCTTTGAATATGAAGCAACAAGTTAGTGATCTAATTTCCTTTACTTGAGTAAAAAAATAATAAGCAATTAACGAATAGATAACTCTACTTACAACGACAGGTTGAAGCTTTGCAGACATTTCTTCTAGATTTTTTTCCTGTTTTTCAATTGAATGAAGTGTTTCTTCTCGTTCAGAACGAAGCTGAAATCGTACGATATACATGAATATATATATATATATATATATATATATATATATATATTCCACGGTTCAACTACATATTGAATTCTTAAAAAAGGTTGTTGTGGAGATTGTTGAGTTCTGTAATTTGTATAACGAACTGGTTTTAGTAAAACAACTTAAGACCAGGAAGCACAGGACAGCTGTTGTGTATTAGTATAGTTGTCACAAGTCTCAATTCACGACCCCTTTGGGACTGAACCAAGGGTTTTCGGGACCACTGAAATGGCATTCAACAGTGTGTATGACTAACTTTGACCCCGGTGAGGGTGTGAATGTGCATTATTGGGGAGTCTCATATTACGACGAAGCAACTGCTCATCGTTTCTTGGTTTCCATTGGTTTTTAGCTAGGATCGGTCTGTAATATAAACTTTAGGATACAGTGTTAGATATGAGAAAACGATCACCGAAAATTCATATATCAGAAAGAATCTTTGGAATGATAGAGATATATAACTCAATTCAGTTTACCGAAACGATCACACTGTAGCGCTAAAATATATCAGAAACTTAGGAACAAATCTCTCACGATGACAGATTATTTCGACTAAAAAATACTCTCAGTTGACTAGTTGTAAAAATTTAACAATCAACACATCAATCAGTTATGTATAAATTAATTCGTTTCAAACCTTTAACAAAAGAACTGAATCATTCTAAATGATAATAAATATATTTTTAGCTTTATCCCAATGAGTAGAAGAATTGTACTTCAGAGTAAATAAATAACCAAATCAAATTATTTATGCACTTTAAAGAAATGACTTACATTAAGTCACCAAACGTCAGAAGTACAATTTTTCAACACATTAGGATATAACAAAAATATATTTATTATTAACTTTCTACTCAATGCTCAATTTATTTGAAACAATCAAGTCAACCTTAGGCATTGATACCTATAATATGAAAGATAGATTAAACTAAAACCATAAAATACTATAAAACCAATGGAAAATAAAGTTCAAATAAAAACGAATACAACTTATGATTACATGGACGTCAGATTTTCACTATAAAATATCATAAGATTAATTCCTTTTTCAGCCTTCTACCACCAAACAGTTTGTGCAAAATTAAACACAAATGAATAAAAATAAAAATGATTTACTTTCAAAGCTTCATCACGATTTTTGGTTAAATGTTTTAACTCAGTTTTATATAATTTAACATTACTATCCTATAGAAAGAGAAATTAGCAAGAAATTAAATGCAACAGAATAATTATTGTATTAAATAGTACATAATATAGAAGAAACAGAAAATACAATGTAAAATCAGGTAATAAGTACACTAGTTAAGTGTTATTCAATTAAATTTCAATAAAGAAGAATTACATGTTATTTATTTAATTGACTTGTCTAAATTAATGTTCAGTAAAACAAAAGAAAATAACCTGAATAAAAATGTTTTTCAGCGGTAGTTGAGAAATGACTTACTGATACTATCAAGAGAAAATCTATTTTTATCAGTGAAGATTGGGAAATTTGAAAATCAAGACAGAAAAAAACAGTAAAATTTAATTCAATTACCTAACATATATCTATGCAATGAGTCAGTCAGTTCCAATGTAGAACCTGGTACGTGTGTACATGCTCAAGTTGCCATAACCCTTGAGCAACATATATTAAACTATGAACTAGACGGAGACTATGACGGTTAACTAAATTACCATCACCATTTAAACTGAAGTAGATGCAACCTAAAGGCTAAAAGACCATTTGCTAAGTAAATAAAATACATTAATAAAAAACCTATTCCGGCCGTAATAATGTACACGGTAGTTCGTAGCCACTGTTATTATACGACTGAAAATAACATTCTCGTTAATCACATTTAGTACATACGACTATGTTATAATCACGGAAAGATTAAATAAAATTATTATTAACAGTCCCGGTCAATAAATTAAACACTATTTACAATGAAGCAAGTTGATTGAAAAATCTAGGCCTGAACACCGACTTTCGAGAACTTATTTGAATAGGTAACACTGACAATATTGTAAATTTAGAATACGCTGAATAATAAAGATTGTGAGTCTATGCAAAACCTGCTTCACTTTTTTTCTAATATCAAACTCGTTCTTAAACTAAGGAACAGGCATTCAGGTCGAGAGTGGGGAGAGTCAGCTTTAACTTTCGAAATGCTCTCACATGGCCATGTGTATACAGTCACTGTTAGGGAAGTCCTACTCATTTCATTCTCGAGGCGGTGGTGTTGTCTACGAAATTGAGAGGATGTAAAGCTAATGTGCGGTGCTCTAACCGGGTTGGTGGGTACGGAAGATCTACTCAGAGGAGTTAGAAGGCCCTGTTTCCAAACCAGTGGTGCACATAGACAATGGATACCATTTGACTGCACCTCCTAACGTTGATCCAACGCCTTGTGGATTAGACCTCTAGGTCGAAGGCTCGAGGACTGGCCCATTGAGAAAACCACCTTCTTCAGTCTGAGAGCATAGAAAGTATCCTAGCCCACACAAAAATTAATCACTATTACAACTTGAAAAATTATTCTTGCTTCAATTTTCAATGAGACAAATCACATTCAAAATCGTTTGGTCACATTCGTTTATTTGTTTGCACTACATCACTCGTATATTTGTGTGCATTCTTTTATTTTCCGACTTATACAGCAGTTTGTCTATGGTGGAAATCCTACCCTATCCACTGACTGGTCGAAAGTTGAATGCCACCACCGACTACCAATATTGAACCAGTCTTTCGAAAACCACGTATACCATTTAAACTGGCCTCCTTCAAAGTCCTCACACTAACACAGATCGGGCAACATATAGGGTTTGCTATGACTTTAGAAGGTCTCAAACATCGATGTCTGTTGTCTATCCGAGACCCGTATTCAAGACTCTAGTGAAGTAATGCAAACTCGCTTTCCATTTGTCAGTTCGATAAGCTCGTTTTATGTGCATTTATCCACGGACACTGTGGCATCTTCGTCTGATGCTGCTGGCGTTAGTTGCCGCTCCTTTAGGAATACTTATGTGGACTATGATGATGCCCTTGTTTGCGCATCAATGGTCGGCAAATTTATCACCCTAAAAGGACTGATGTTAGCGAATTGGTTGCAATTTCTGTTGCAACTAAATATCAAACTCAGCAAGGTTCAAGGCTAACTATTAGCCCATTTAAAAGTATAGATGAGCATTGAGTGCAATTGCATGACGCCATGGGAATAACAAGTAGAGTCGCTTGTGGCTTCGAGAAACGTCCCGCTTATAAACATTATGTTTCTACAGGCTCTTTACAACTGATAAAAGCACGTAGGTCGACTTCAGGTGACTGCGAGTATGACGACAAACGGAGGTTGTTTCGTAATGAAATTGTGCAAAGCCTGCACAAGGACCGAGAAGCCAGGCAATCATAGCATACTGACGAGTTGGTAGCAGCATCTGGGTTTAGCAACTTTCGGAAGCTCTTTCTACTTATCTGAGTCACTGGCAGCCAAAAGTCTGGTGTGAGTGAAACAACCTGTGAAGCTGATGGGATGCCAGTCAATAACATTTACTGACGTCATAGACGATGGACAGAGCATTTTGAGGGGCAGTTCAACTGATCTGCTGTCCCGGCGACATCGATCGGACTGTCCTGCCCTCTATGGTCCGTGAAGACTGAACCACCTAACGAAGTGGAAGTTCGCAAGGAACTCCAAGTCCAGTAGCACCACGAATCATCAGCCCTGTATGACTTACACCCGAACCCCTTAAAAGATAGTGGCAACTGTCTGGCTATGGAACTGACTGAGTTGTTTACAAAAGTCTGTCAATTAGAAAGTGTTCCAAAATTGTGGAATGAGCTGTTAGTTGTTCCTATCTATAAAAAGGGTACACGTCATATATACAGCAAATATTGGAGGATAAGTCTACTTCCAACCACGTCAAAACTATTGGCTTCCGTCATACTTCGTAGATTGTTCAAAGCCCGAGAAAGATTGACTGGTGAGGAGCAGGCTAGTTTTTGTTCTGGTCGAGGATGTTTTGATCAGATTTTCACCCTCCACCAAATGTTAGAACACCTTCATACTTATTACAGACCAACAACCGTAGTTTTTGTTGACATCAGGGCTGCCTTCGATTCTTTGGACGGTATTATTTTCACGGATTATCTGCTGAATAAGGGTGTGTCTGAGAAGTTTATTAACACCTTAAAAGCCCTACATACAAACATCTCAGGCAGAGTGAGGGCATACAACCACCTCTCTCCATTGCTCCATCCAAGCAGTGGGGTTAGACAGGGTTGCCCAGTCCCACCATTCCTCTTCAACCTTACCATCGATGACAGCTCCGATGGATGTAGGTAATGGCGGAGTGAATCTGTCGCATGGAGAAAGACTTCTCGACCTTGAGTATGTGGATGATATGGTCATACTGTGCGATAATGCCCAAGCCATGAGATCCGCACTTAATCAGTTGGCAATGAATGTCCGTAGGTAGGGTATGTGCTTTGCACCTTCGAAGTGAAAAGTACTTCTACAAGACTGGCAGGACCCTAATCCTGTACTCACCCTGAGTAATGAACAGATAGAAGTAGTCGAGAAGTTCGTACATCTGGGTAACTGCGTAAGTGCTGGTGGTGGTGTGATACCAATTCACGTATAGTGAAAGCTAGAGTGGATTATACCAATCTGGGCCATCTTTGGCGCCTTCGTGGTGTTAGTCTGGCTGTAAAAGTTCGGATCTACAACGCGTCGGTAAGAGCAGTTTTGCTCTATGCTTGTGAAACCTGGCCTCTCCGAGTTGAGGATGTTAGACGACTCTCTGTGTTTGATCATCGTTTTCTCTGAAGGGTTGCTGACATTCAATGGCAACACCATGTCAGTAATGCAGAGGTTCGGCATCGTGTGTTCGGGCACAGAGACGATAATTCAATTAGTATCACCATCTTGAAACATCGACTTTGGTGGCTTGGACATATTTTACGAATGTCGTCCCAGGGAATTCCACGTTGTGTATTATTTGCCGACGCTGGGACCGGTTGGAAAAAGCGGAGAGGTGGTCAGTATATGACATGGTGTCGTGGTATGAAAGAAAGCTGCATAGGACTGGCTTGTGTTGGTCCTTCACGACTCCCTGGTTGGGTTCTGAAAGATGGTGCAACACAGTGGCAAAAGACGTTATCAGATATGGCGCAGAATAGAAGCCAGTGGTGATCCTGCTGTAACCTTCTCTTACTTTCTTTAGAAAAAGTGGCCGTAACTTCTTTACTTAAAAGAATACCTTATGGCTGAACTGCTTCTCCAACTATTATTATTGTTATTATTGTTTCACTCTCATACTTTAATTTCTGTTCATTGTTGCTCTTCATGTTATTATACGCACTTTGCATTCTCTGTCTCTTCACAAAATCATTATTGTGTGGCGCATATATGGTTGGTGCCCCCTTGCACCAGTGTTTGTGTTCGAATAAATAATTGACAAATCGATTAGTTAATCTGAAAATAAAAGCTGAACGTGAAATATATTAAAAAGTCTAACAGAAAATTATATTTAACTCCAGTACCTAAACACAATTAATTCTTAACGTGATTAGAATGGAGTCACTGGCAAGATTCGACATTAGGAAACAGAACAACCTTAAAGAACTATATTATGATAAGATATCCGTCATATTTACCATGTAAGGTTAAGATTACTTATATAAAAATCGAGCTATTAACCTCCTCTAAAAATGTCTAAGAAAAAGATGATTACGATATACGTAAGAATATCGGTCGAGCAAAACCTAATATTATTTATCGGATCAGAGACTGTTAAACATTCTCATAGGCACATAAATTTCAAAACTTTAAATATTTGTGATGAAGTGTTTCGAAAGTTAAGAACAACCTTTTGTAAAATACCTAAATCAAAATCAAATTATAATTCAAATCAAAAGTATAGCTCTTGATCCACGTATTATTGAAAGAAAAATTCTGAATGCTACTAAGTTTCATAACTAACATTGTCTTGTTTACACTTCCGAATGGCATCCAGTGCTTTCACATAACGTGATGAAGCAAATAAATCGTCGAAACGTTGTTTAACCGATTTCGCTTCTTGTAAAGGCCTATAATGAAGGATACAGGAAACTGTATAACAACAGATAGTGAATTGCAGTACAACTTAAGTTGCCAGTTAAGGACTTGCAAAATGTAAATATATTTAATAGGTCTTGGGGTTAACCATGTCATATTGATTTGACACAATAAATAGGATCCCGGAATAAGAGATTTAAGAAGTTATATCCTTGTGTAGTTCATGATGCCATTGAATGAAAGCTTACACCGCAGCTATTTCTTACTGTTATTATCCGGTATGAAAATAAACCTTTAAATAACCAGGTCATTTAGGGAGACAAGTCATCAGTAAAGTAACTTTTTCAGGGATGTTTTCTCGTAGGATCAATCGATAGACAGTAGTTTCCTTCCAGTTCAGTGAATCTGGTTAGTTTCGACGCCTACTTCAATTACAGAGACACCTATATGAATCCCACATTACATAACGAAAACTACCCAGTCAAGTATTATCACTAGCATTCATGCAAAATAGTTGATTTGTTGTCTGGAACAAGAAATTATGCATGACTAACGAGATTCATGTTCAGTTACACAGGTTGGAGTGTAAAAACTGAATAGTTATATTCTTTTTTAGTTGGAAATAAAAGATTCGAAGCCGTAACCCAATGAACGAAGGTAGTGCTAGAGCAACAACTAACCCCTCCAAGAAGGAATATTCAAAATACTACCAATATATGGATTATAATAACTGATATTATAAGTGTAAAACAAAAGCATATTAAAAGATAGGAACTGACCAGTTAGAATCTTCTTGGTGACAAAAGATAACATTTTCCAAGACAGCTTTTGACACCCCCAAACTTGTAACCATCTAACCAATTTTCAAAAGATAAAAAACCGAACCATTAGTTTAGAACGTAGTCACAACCACAGAAACATATTGAGAAGCACAGATATTACTGAATTAAACAACGTAGACTGTATTTAGTGTACGAATTCTGAACTTTATTGGTTGCATTACCACCTTCTTATCTAGAAATCAAACTTATTTTATGTTGTTGACTCAGTGGTAACATCACTTTGAAGATGCACATAGTGCAGTATTAGCACACATATTTCATAACTGTAAGCTACAGAAGACTATCGTGTTACTCACTAATATAAGTCCTCCTAACTAGTGTTATTCAATGACTATTCTTAAGTAATTTTACTTTCATACTTCTGAAACAAGAAATTCTTCCTTTTGATGAATAAAAATTCTGCCATACTTCAATGAATATTTCACAATTTTGGTTGTATTAAGAATGTTATCTTTTTTCGAGGCAGAAAATACAGCCATACTTATTTTTCATCACGAATTCATCAACCTACAAATAATAATCCTAGTGTTACACAGCTGGATATGTTAGGTGACAATTAGTTTTATCTAAACATGACTACTCAAAAGCGAAATAACCATTCCAATATCAAAAGCTGTCACAAAAAAATCTAAGAAAAAAAGGACTTTATGGTGCTCAGTAAAAAACGAAAATTAGGCTTACTTCCTGATCTAGGTCAGTACATCGTAGGCTGACACTTGTGACACGTCCGTCTGGGTACTGACGTTTTATTGATCCATCCAGAGTTTTTAAAGTCCCTTGCTTTGTCTGTTGAGTGAATATAAAGATAGTACTTTATAGCACTTAGAAAAAAAAGGTTGATATTAAAATTACACTCAGCAAGTAACAAACAATACTACTGAAACAATCTACCATTTAGCTCTAAAGCGTTTTCTTATAATTTTATTTTTACTTATGAAGTATATTTATGACTAATCAGTCTTCGTCAATTTGACGCTAGTTCTTAAGCAAGCATTAAAACTTGTATCCAACTGAATGCGAATTACCTTGCATACGCTTGTATAACTAAGAAGTTCACAGAAAGAACTACGTGTTTTACTTCAGACACAGTATGATCAGGAGTCAACATATTGAAATGTTGTGCAAGCCTACCGTGAGGGGGAGTGAGAATCGAAAAAAGTATCAATAGCAACTCAAGTTACACTAGCAAAGTAACAAATGTTTAAAACCAGTAGAGTTCCTAGAAAGTATTCAGAGTGCAAATTTAGGCAGCGTTAACATAAGGCACATGCACCAAATACCATAAACCACAAAGAAGCCAATCACAATTTATAAGACAAATATATTGGATCTAGTAAGTAATGATCGGAATCGCCATAGCCGAAGTGGCTTCTGTTTAGCAACTGTATATTGAACGTTCTTGACCGATCCATTAGAACGTGAAATCCAGCGTAATAGTACAATCGTTGAAGATGATGTAAATTGAGATAGTGCATTAAAAAGTAGTCAACAGAAGTAGCAACAGAGACGTGGAAGGACTTAACAAAAAATTGGGATAATTAGTTAAAATGGCCTTCGAAAGGATTTCAGATACTATGAAGGTAATTTTCAACACGAAGTGGCATCATTTGACGAACAATTCACAACCAAGAAATAATGGGTAGGAGTTTCATACTAGTTTCAGACTCATCAGAGGTACGCACCCGCGACCCGACACATGATCAAACTTATAATCTTTAGGCCCACTACCAAATACGATGATATTGGACCGATAACTCAAAATATAGAAGGTTCAAATTTTTAACCTTATCTAATTTTTGATATAGCCCGAACCTCATTAAATATCGTGTATAAATAATTTTGAAATAATTTACTTAGTAACAAAAGCCAGCTAATGATAGTAAAAGGTCACAAATAATGCTAAAGCATTTATCAGATTTACTTTCCCTTCCCAAAACTCTAGAAGAAATATTGCATAACAAAGAGAAATAACAAACAGATGATTAACTAGCGGAATGCAAATGAGAACCACACAATGCGAAGGCAACAACAGTACTTCTTGTAATTAAGGTGAAAATAATTTTCGTTTTGATTTATTGATTTCTTATGAAGTTTCTGTTTTCCAACACCAATATCAACAACCAAGTCTAACGTTGACTTTTTTATTTACAATCATAGAATATTTAATAGACGATGTTGACTTTTTTTATTCTACTATATTATTTCACTTATTTGAATACAGTTTACTAACGTTGTTATGTATAAGTCGACCAGTTTGTCTAGCAGTATCACATCTGTTTTAGATTAGAAAAACTACTCATATTTTGGGTCAAACTAGCTCGGTTTCATTCTTAGTTTAAATAGAAGTTGCAACCAATAAGCTTATTTTAATCCGTTTAGGACACGAGACGTTTGATCATCAAAACCCAAGAAAAGCTCCACAAAAACAAAATGATGACCAGAATCCAGATAGGTAATTTAAGAAGAGTGGTGGTCTTATACACGGCATTAATAGTTAATAATAATGTAATAGACTTGAGACCAGTATTTGGTTATAGAAGGAAGACATGATACAGCATATATGCAATAATTGGGCCTGAATTTGATGTTATGCAGAAACAGGTTGTGATCTATACAAAACTCTGGGACCATAGAGTGCAAATCAGCCACCCAGAAGACCTTCGTCTGTCTCTGACATGTACATTTGAGCCCCTAGTTGGCACTAAAATATCTGTCAGACGCGCTTTACGGAAATCAAACAATTTTTTGTACCGATGCAATAATTCATCGGCGCGTAGTCTGAGATTATGGTAAGACGTTATTTTCAGCGTTCCTCTTCACTCTGATTGAACCTTTTAACCTAACAGCACATAAAAGATTGTCAATCGGGATCCTCCACTCTGATACTTGATGCCACGTTTGAAGGGATTACGATATCGCCTAAACCAGAGAACGGAATGAAAGTCAGCAACACTACAACAGGACAAGCTGATCTATTCCACTGAGCAGCAACCCTGCTAACTAGAGGGAAAAGGCCAGATTCAGACGAGGGAAATGTATATTTCACCCTACACACAGACTTTTAAAACGAATAATTGAGGAGTAAGTTAGTAGTGATTCTATAGAATCTTGAATGAGGGTCTCAGATGTTCAGAATACAGTAAAACTTCCCGAAGATATGACCAAATATATATGATGTCTGATCTGCACCAAAGTGCGGATGTGCCTTCAGTAAAGCTGTATTAGGTCTTGTATATATATATATATATATTCAATCGAGATGAACTACTGAGTGAGTTAGGGATTGAAATCGATGTAAGAAAACGTAAAAGCAATATGAAAACAAAACAAAGTAGGATGTCAAACTGAAATAAAATAAATCCAATCGAAATAAAATGATTATTATCTTTATGATACTTTCTGCATTAGTGTAACAGATAAGTGAATCACAATTTTCACATTTTTTATGGGTATCCTTTTATTTAATGTGGTGCATGCTACTTGTGTCAACAGGATGTAACACCAATAGGAAGTGGAAAACCTGGCAGTAGAAGACTATCAAGTTTGACTTGAAGAGAACACAAACGGAATTAGAAAAGAACTGTGAATCGGAAGAATCATACAGAATGTGAAGGACAAATGATGGAAATTCGCAAATGGAGTATTTAGTGTATAGTGCTTATATTTTACCAAGAGATTCTGTAATGTGGTATTCATATACATTTGGTTGTCCCATCACCTGTGTTCTCGTTCACTACAGTAGGATATAAATAGAAGTAGGTGGTTTTCTTAGGAAACAACTTCCCGAACATTTGATCTAAGGGTCTAATTCATAAGATAGTGAAGCAAAGTCGTGCCCACCGAGTTATTTCAAACGCCGGAAGTCTGTTTCTCGTCTCAATCGTAAAAATAGTACTACATCGTACGAATGGTAAGCATAACATCCCTGTAAGAAGCTAAAAACACATGCGCAAGTATGAGAGCATGTCAAGAAGAAGAGAGAGAGCATCCTTGGCATAACGAGGATATTAAGGGTTTGAAACATTCAGTGAAAAAGCTCCAGTTTTATGTAAATGTTGTGCTATATGACTATCATTAAGGAAAAGCGAGATTTTTATCACGACGTGAAAATCACTAATACATCGACTTTGCAAATCCGATAACAGAACGATCTCGAAAAAAAGAATAGAAATTTAAGAAATATCAAACAGAAATAAGTGTGTATTCATAAAATATCTGAACTATTTACGAAAGTGTAGAGAAAATCTTACTTTATCACGCTGTGTTGCCATAAGTGCTCGTGAAACAACCATAGGACAACCTTTAACATCACGAATTTGAAGAGTAACTTTGGCTTTCACTTCACTTTCTTGTGCTATCTAAGTGAGAAAATTGTGAAAGATGAATGGATTACAGTCATCACATATACATTGTTCGTTAGTTATGGTGAATTAGATTAAGCGAGTAACACATTTCTTTATAGGTATGATATTTCATAATTAATTAATAAAGAAGTTATTATAAGACGTACTTTTTATGAAATGAATAATCATTCCATAACTATTTATTCCATAGAAAGTTGAGAAAAAATAGGTAACCATAAATTTTCAAGCAGCCCTTAAACGTTAGGAATAATATCAGGCGAGATGACTACAACAAATTCCATATGTAAACCCAAAAATTATGAATATTTTAAAATGAGCTTTCTCGTTTTAGAAGAACGAATATTAATTATCAGTTGACTAAGCGGAAAAATAATGCATACGTGCATTATCAGAGACAGAAAAGGTAAATAAATCTGTACTTGCAAAGCATTTATAAAATGCGGAAGACTAAGCTAAGTACATAACTATGTTATATACGAGGTAGTTAAATATATTGGGGTCAGGAAAAGTTTTGGGTGTGTAAAGAAACATAATTCAAATTATTGCGATACAGCTGAATTAATGGGTTCAAAAAATATGAGAACTTTTGTATTCCACTTCTAATGAAAAAGTACCTTCTTAACGTAGTTACCTCAACGATCGTATGTTTCTATGTGGTGACCACAAGGGAATATATTAATCCTGAGATTATAATCATCGCTAAGATACTTAAATTTACAAAACCATTCCAACGCTGAAGATAGTTTGACTAGATCAACGCATAATCCAATACGACAAATTATTAAAACAAATTAAGGCTTCAACATTTTGTTTAAACGAATTCGAAACGACAAATGATACAAAGTTTGGAACATATTTAGCGTTGTGATTATTTCAACATAAATTTATTTATTTATTTATTTTAACACATAGATATCGGTACAAGAAGGCACCAAATACATATGCGCCACACAAATCTCATTTGATATGTGTGAGGGATGTGATACTGCCCTGGTGCCCAAACCGAAGCAGGTGGTTTTCTTAAGGGGCCACACCCCGAGCCTTCGACCTGAACGTCTGACCCACAAGGCAGTGGAGCATCGTAAGGAGATGCAGTCCCATGGTAGCCGGTGACCAACGATTGGTTCATACGCCATTTGTTCCTTCAGGATACTGGAGCCCATGTGCACCATTGGTTTGGGGTCCGGTTATAGCGCCGGACATTCGCTTTTCGTCCTCTCATTTTCGTAAACAACACCCCCGCCACGAGAAGGCAGTGAGTAGGACTTCCCTGGCAGGGGCTGTATACGCGTGGCCATGTGACAGCATTTCGAGAGGAGGAGCGGACTCCCCCCACTCTCGGCCATACCAGGGCATTTGGGGGCTTCAACACAAATGGGGAATGAGAATGATATATAATTTCATGAGATCCGAACTGTTTCACTACAACTTAGTTCAAATAATAAGGGTTTTGAATACTTACGAGCCACAACTACCACGAGCCTGGACTTCGTTGCCAAGGATATGGAAAAGATGAAAATCTTTTGAGAACAAGTGATAATATATGACTAGTTGATGTATCTTACTTTTTAGACTGGTAAGACAGATCTGTTATAACGAACTAGTGGTATCGAATAAGCCAATTAAACGACATTTTATGTTCAGGCTCTCAACAAACCAGTTTAACAAACAGACATGAATACAAAATTCAACCATGGAATTTCGGTCAACAATGAACCAGAGCTTAAGAACTGAATTTTCTATAAAATACTTTGGAAGAAAACTAACTAGTTTGAGCACAAAATTTAGTAAGTACTCGAATACATAGTGATGAAAGGTAAGATAAGGTCGTTTTATAATGAATGTAATTTATCAAAAAATCATTGGCATGATAAATGACGAACAAGAAGTGAGTTACTTTAATAAACAACTGGTAGTAAACACTTACTCTAGGATCATGGATAAATGAACACCCAGTTTTCGATCCAGGAGGTAGTTCTCCAGTTGCTGAATATTTCAAACACTCGATGACAGTCTGAAACATAATATTCCTGATATGATTGATGAAGACTTTCTAATAAATTATATAAAAGCATTTGTAAAAAAATTAAGTAACTGTTCATTCCCTATAGATATTTTTGGATTTATTTTGAGAGGGAATGACTATGTCAAATGATGACATAGCAAAAGTCGGAATCACTAAGATGTAATCCAGTTAGTTATTAAATCAATTACTGAATATGTCACACCAGATGTTACTTTATTATCCCAATCATCTTTGCTTGACCTTTCATTTTTATATGACAAAAATGCTGCTGACTGTTCGTAGAAAAACGCTTCAAATTAGATTAAAATAAATGAATTATATAGTGTCAAAATAAGTCAAGGATATTATCTAAAACAATATGGAAACTTAAGGTCAGAAATCACAATCCTTTGAATAATATTTATGATCTGTATTACGACGAACGTCTGTAGCAGGAATATTCCCACGAAGAAAGACGATGAATGGTTAGGCATATTAACAAAATACTTGACTCTGTACTGAGAAATTCAGTACCCAAAATCAGGGTTGATTTACCCCACCCTACTCCTTGAATTACTTTACTACTACCTACTTTAACACATTGATATTGGTACAAGGAGGCACCAAATACATATGCGCCACACAGATCTCATTTGATTTGTGTGAGGGCTATTATACTGCCCGGGTGCCCAAACCGAAGCAATTTTAGTTAGTTCAACAAGTTATTGTGTGACCAGTAGGAAAGTAATCTTTCAACGGTACGAACGATAATTGCGAATTTGAACAATCTTTCCTACTTATTATATCACTTTTAATTTATATAACCCATACAATTTGCGTTAATGAAGTATTTTATTTGTATACTTAATCTTTTGATAAGGTTTCGGATTAAAATTTCTTTATCTTATCGCTGTAAGACCCGATGATATAGTTAATTATCAATATCTAACGACTTTTGTTACAATTTAGCAACTAAGCAGTTTCATACAGTTGGCTTCAAGATGCGCTTTTGTAAGAATTAATAATATTATACGAATTTCAAACCAAAGTGAACCACTTTTTCAAACTGAGACTAATTTAGAAGTCCTGTGGTAGTGATAAATCCACTTGAACCTATTTAACTGTAAACTGAATGACGGTCAGTATATCAGGAAGAAAATCTTGTCCCTATATCACCTTTTAGAACTAAAACAAGATTCTTGTTACAAACTCTTGTTAAATGATCTCGAAGAAATATTGTACCAATAATGTACCAACTGTGACAGTGAAAATATTTGGTGTGCATTCCACAGTATCAAAGTTGGAAATAATTCAACGAAGCTTGACTTAAACTGTGGATATCCTATCTGAGGAAAACATAGAATAAACAATTATGTTTGCACAGTAATTTCAGCTGACATCCTAATAAAATGTAAAAAGAAAATTTGGTACTTATTATCCAGAACTTTCAGTATCCACAAAACATTCTTCTACAGCTAGAGAGTTGGATTTGTAACCGTAGAAAACAACCATGCTAAAAAACGCTGACGAGAGAAAATCACTTAGACGATTTTAACTTTGCTTCGGGAGTTGAAGGATCTCTATTTAGAAGTGTTATGAAGCCTCATAGTTAAGGTGGAAATTCTTTAAAATTTGCTGTTTGAAGAGATTACGAGTTCACCTAATCTGAGAACAGAACGAAGACTCTGTGACATAATGACAGATAAGCTAGCTATTTCGACGCGTCCCAGACCCCTTAACTAGAGAGAGAAGTTCGTGTTCAGAAAAGGGGAATATACACCACAAGCAGCCAGAAGCACGAGCTACAACAACAAGCACAAATCAAACGTATATATAGCAAAAAATTGTCGTTGAGAAGCGTTACGAAATAGCATACTAAAGGATACAACGAACTAATAGCGTTTAAGATCCTCCCAAATGGGAAATACGACATGAAAGTAAAAGAAATGAGCGCTTTGGTGCGAGAACAAGAAACTCAAATTTTTAAAATAGAATTAGAAAAATAAGGTAATTAACAAGTGATTTCTGCGGATCAAACATCCCCAACAGAAGTCATGGGGCCGAAGTCCCCTCTGACAACCAGAGCAACTAAAGCTAGACAGAAAAGGTTAGGTTCGGGAAAGGTGCTGTTGTACTCTGGCCACGAAAAATAAAATGCTTCGTGCACACAAGGAGTTGAACTGATGCTATTAAAAGAAGTACGAAATGCACTTACAGAATGGCAAACTCACTGATCTAAAATTATCAAAGCATCTTTCAAAAAAGGAGGGGATTACAATTAATGTTATCCAGTGTTACGCGTCCACTAATTATATCAATGAAGACGATAAAGATCACAATTGATTGATCACCGGGTGGTGATCAATGTCATGTGTGTTAAGTCCTTATTAGTGCAGATCGGATGGGAACAAATAGAAGAGCTGATATAAATTCAAATCACCACTTGGTTGTGGCCAAGATGAAACTAAAGCCAAAGAAGCACTAGAAAATATAATACAGCACTTCTTCGAGATACTGAAAAATCCAACGAGTTCGAGATACACTCAGCAATCAATTCCAAGCCTTATGAGATCTACTCAAAGAGGAGGAAACTACTATGGCGAACTGAAAAAGAATTAAAGAAGCAATAACTTCAACATTCCAGGAGGCGTTGGGTCGAAAGAAGCGCTAGCATAAAGGGTGGATCTCTACTGATACCCCGAATAAGATTCAAGAAAGGAATAACAATAAGATAGCAATTAACAACATTCAAACAGGAGCAGAAAAAGACAAGTCACAGCCAAATACATGGAAGCAAACAAGAGAGTGAAAAGGAGCATTAGAGCCGTAAAGCGGAAACATGTGGAAAACCTAGCAACGACAACAGAAAACAGCAGGCGCAGGGGATTTGAGACACTTGTGTGACCAAACGAAGGAGATAGCAGGGAAATATGGAAAGCAAGAGCGACCAGTCAAGAACAAAGAGAGTAAACCAAATAGAGATGCAAGAACAGAGGAACAAGTGGGTAGAACACTCTTGAATAGGCCAGCTCCGTTAAACCCATCGGACATCAAACTGGTACACACAAACCTTCCTATAGCTGTCACTCAACCAACGATCAAAGAAATCAATATGGCCATCAAACAAATCAAGAGTGGGAAAGCAGAAGGACCTGAGAGTATATCAGCTGAAACACTGAAGTAACTGCAAAGATGCCCCACATTCTCTTCAAAAAGATTTGAGAGGAAGAACAAGTGCCGACAGACTGGAAGGGATACCTCATCAAGATACCAAAGAACTCGACATGCATGTGAACTAGAAAGGCATGGTACTACTATCAGTAGTAGAAGTTTCTAACAGTGTTGTTGAACCGAATGAAGGATTCAGTAGACGTCAAATTTCGAGATCAACATAACAGATTTCTTAAAGATCGGTCGTGGACAGACCGAATTGCGACACTATGAACCATTGCTGAACAGTCAATTGAACGGAACTCATTACTATACACCAACTTCCATGACGATGAAAAAGCATTTGATAGCATGGATAGGAGAACCTTACGGAATAATCTCCGACACTATAGTGTACTTGAAAAGATTGTCATCATCATACAGATTTCTTACAACGGACTACAGTGCAAAGTCGTGCATGGAGCGCAGTTGACAGATAAATTCCAAATGAAGACCGGTGCCAGATAAAGTTGCTTACTCTCGCTCTTCATCTTTCTTCTAATGATTGACTGGATTATAAAGACCTCAACATCTCATACAGTGGATGCGGCTAGACGATTTGGACTTGAGAGATGATCCAGCTCTACTATCCCATACACAGTAACAAATGCAAGTGAAGACAGTCAGTGTAGCAGCAACCTCTGCAATGGTAGACCTCAATATACATAAGGGAAAAACCAAGACCCTCAAATACATCATAGTGAGAAGCAACCAAAGCACATATGATGGGGAAACTCTGAAAGTGGAAAGTTCTACGTACGCGGGCAGTATCATCGATAAATAAGGAAGATCTGATGCAGATGTGAAAGCACGGATTGAAAAAGTAGAGGCAGCATTCCCACAGTTGAAGAGCATATAGAACCCAGAACGACTGTCAGCCAGCACTAAAGTCAGAATTGTCAATACGAACGTCAAGACAGTTCTATCGAAGGGAGCTTAAACTTGGAGAACTAAACAGGCATCATCTGAAAAGTACAAGTATTTGTAAACAATTGTCTACGCACGATACTCCAGATCTGTTGGCCAAACACCACCAGTAGAGACCAACTGTAGCAAAGGACAAATCCGCTTTCAGATGAAGAGATTAGGAAAAGACGCTAGAGGTGAAGACACAATGCAGAAATATTCAAACTGCATAACAAAACGGGCGATAACTTGAATTCCTGAAGGAAAAAGGAAAACAGACAGATCAAAAAGCACATTACGCCACGAGTTGGAGACAACCATTAAGTGAACAGCAGTAGGTAACAATTGGAAAGAACGCAGGACAGAGTTGGTTGGAAATTCCTGGTCGACGGCTTATGCTCTACGAGAACAGGGGTAAGTAATTAACTACTGATGTGCAGCATTTATAGAGAGTGAATATATATCTTAAAATAAATACGCATGGTCGGTCATTCGTAACTAAATTAGAACCTGGTTCATATGTGCAGCGGTTCAAGTTACCACACCACATTGGCATAGCGAGATGAAATTACTAAGCTAAACCATGCGGTGCTAGAAACAGTAACTACGAAAAATAGAAAAGAATAGGTATGAAAAGAAAAAAATGTATGAGATTTGGGGGATCAGGATACAAGAGGAAGCAAAGATTGGATGCGTCTATGAAACTCCAATCGTTTCTGAGCTGTATAAAAAAATCTCCAACCACTGGTTACGTTAATCGCCCGGATTCCAATCACGTAATCTGCACCTACCTAGATAGCTCAGCCCAACAGTTAATGACTTCATAGACTGATGATATGTTTTGATTTGGCTCTCTTAATTTCTCCCATCCCACTCCTAGGTCAGATATATCGCCCATCGAGGTAGGCGGTGGTTGGATATACGTAATGCACGTCCCAACCACTAATTTGATGAAGGTTCACTACCTCATCAACCGGTTTGTCATCTTTACATAGCACCCTATGCCTCTCATCAGCATTGTTCACTCGGTGGTACCAACATACACGAGAACTGCTTTGAAAACACCTATGATCGAATACCAGTAGTCTATCAATATCCTTTGTTCTTAATGGCTGTGTTCCATAACCATAAAATAGAACAGGCCAAATTACCGCCTAGTTAACTCGTACTTTAGTTGACAGACGGACATCTCGCATACTTCACAAGTGGTGTAAGTTGATAAAGGTCAAACAAGCCTTCTGAATCTGTGATATGACACAAACACACCAATGCTCATAAGTCCTCTAAGGTACATGGATTGGTCGATCCGCTGAAATACCCCACTTTCTATCATTAGTTCAGGTGTTGACGCAAACCATTCCTGAAACATTTTGCATTTAGAGGGATAGAATCAAATTCCAAACATGTTGGCACTGTTGCTCAAGAAGATTAGAAGACCGCATTTCGTCAGCGTCTTCACTAAACAGAACTACGTCGAGTATAAGTCAATAAGTGGACCTTTTCGCATGAAATAATTAACTCATTCCCCAGGCACTTGAGTATGTGCCACACCAGGTATGAGGACTTATAATAATACCTAGTTCCCCAAGCGGTAGTAGGTGGATGTGATTCAAACCTGCAACTTGGTACCCGAAAGTCGGACTCCTTAGCTTGAGTGTTGATTCCATAATGACAGCGATGACGAATAGTATCAGCGAAACACATGTCTTATTTAACTTCCTACATATTCTATTAGTTGACCACGTTAATACAAGAATGGATAAGAGAAGTTGAATGTGAAATGTTTCTGGATACGTCTATCTCATGCGCTTATTTACGCAGAAAGGTAATAAAAGGGTAGATATACACAAATACGCACTCATAAAAACGCTCAGAAATACAAGCGACTAATTAGCAAAACAAAATATACAGAGTTACAAAAAGATTAAGATAATTTGTTTGTCCAGAAACTAGAGTAAGTTCAAATGGGTTTACAAAAAAGCCACCACAAATTTTAGCCGATCACTCCTAGTAGTGGACCGATTCCTGAGAAGGTGGACGAGAGTATTATCTATGTGTCGATGACAAGATTGAGTTAAAGTGAATACATGTACTAAAAATGGGAACCTTAGCAACAATAAACAAACTATTAGAGCGGGAGAGCTACTTATACATTCGTACAGTCTAAATGGTAATCAGCAGATATGTATTTTTATTAAGTCTAAATAGCAGTGGCGGACAAAAAATTAAAATAGTAACTAACCGTTTTTCCCGTTCCATTCTGACCAAGAATTAAAGTGACAGGTGTAAAAAACTCAATTTTTTGAGGTGTTTCCTGTCCAAAACTTCGAATTCCAAGAATGCTCATTCGTTCTATCAATGCCATTATAATCTGCATTTCGAAAGATTCATTAGTTAAAGTGACAAATTAGAGGACTTAATAGTACAATTATAGTTCACAGGATAAATTGATTAATTTTCATGGGTAAACTGACTAAACATTACTTCCGGAATCTCTGGTATACAGTCCTGTCGAAATTCACATAAGATCTGTGATTTCAGAGTACCAATAACTTCAAATATTTTCCCAACATGCAAACATGTATGCAGGATAACTAGCATGTTAGTAGACATAGTTAAACATGACTTCACTTCTATTCACATCCCAGGTTTCATCTCCGAGGAACACACAAGTGAAGAGTTGTATTTGCGAACAGCGATTTATGTAGAATACCTTAAAACAGGAGCAACTACATCAACTGCATATCTCCTAACTTAATTTGCATATGACTGTTTCCCAACAATTTAAGTTGCGTCAATGTCACCGAAAGATTGTATTTAGACAATTTGTGATAACTGAACATAATTTTTAAACCATTAGGGTTTATAGGCCTTATTTCTAAAACAAAAATGTCTATGAAACTTAACAAGTATTCACGCTCCCAAATGTCCTGGTACGACCAAGAGTAAGAAGAGTCCGCTCTCCCTCTCGAAATGCTCTCACATGGCCACGCGTATACAGCCCCTGCCAGGGAAGTCCTACTCACTGCCTTCTCGTGGCGGGGGTGTTGTTTACGAAAATGAGAGGACGAAAAGCGAATGTCCGGCGCTTTAACCGGATCCCAAACCAATGGTGCGCATGGGCTCCAGTATCCTGAAGGAACAAATGGCGTATGAACCAATCTTTGGTCACCGGCTACCATGGGACTGCATCTCCTCACGATGCTTCACTGCCTTGTGGATCAGATCTTCAGGTCAAAGGCTCGGGGTGTGGCCCCTTAAGAAAACCACCTGCTTCGGTTTGGGCACCAGGGCAGTATCACATCCCTCACACATATCAAATGAGATTTGTGTGGCGCATATGTATTTATGGCCTCCTTGAACCAATATGTGTTAAAATAAATAAATAAACAAGTCTTCACTCCGTATGACTCATTCACACGGTTCAGAAGAACTAATATCCAGAAAAACAATATTTGAACGTGTTTTTATCCATTTGTTTTACTCTAGACCGGTTAAACCCTACTCGGTAAGACTATAATTAATGGACGAACCAACCAGATTTAGGATAACAGGTCTTGGATTTTGGCATGTCAATTCATAATAGAAAACAGCAAATCTATTTACTAAATCTAACCATCAACTGTGAATCATAATCCTTACTCTTTAAACTGTTTTATAACCCTCATTTAGCCCTAGTAAGTAGGTAGACACCCTCAAGGTCACTTTAGCGTCGCTCAAAGGTCGTCCATAGGTTACAGTATCACTGCATACATTATTGCTGAATTAATAGTCAGCTTAATAATTAATAAAGTCGGCTTACGAGTTTTAGTGGAAAAAATTCCAAAAGACAAAACCAACTACAGACGATTTACGGACGGCTTTCAGCATCCACATGAGTTAAATTTTCAGACTCCGCTAGCATGAAAAGGAGCGTGGACGAAGAAAGAACAAGCGAGTCGACAATTCAAAAACTACCCAGAATGAGATTACACTAAACGGTTAAAGCATTCAATAAATACATAAGCAAAACTAAAACAATCTGAGACAAGGGTATAATCTATGGACAAACCAATGAAATTAAGGACAGTAAGACTTCACCTTTTACCAGGAGTTCGTTTATTCATGTAGTTAAATACCATTTCGGCATTTAGCTTATCCTAACCCTAACTCCTGACCCAAATACTAATTCATAACAATAATTTACAATCCTCTTTTAACCCTATCAAATGCATAAGTCTTTAAAGTCACTGCAGTATCGCTCAAAAGTTGTCTATGTATCATAGTCTCATCCCATCTAAAAACCCGAACTTCGTGTAGTTTAATCCCACATAGGCCCAGATTTAAACTTTGCGCTAACCTTGAAAGACCAACTTAAAGACAGATTTCAGATTTGTGTAGTAAAGACAGAAGACCTACGGCCTATGTTATTCCTTTTCCAGTATGCTTCTATGAGTATCCAGTCTTCTTTTGAATGAGTCACTTGAAGGTGCTGATACCACTGCTTCGGGTATAAGGTTCCAAGTATTTGATGACTGTGTGAAAACCTGTATGCTGCACATATTTTGTTCGCTCTTGGCTGTTTTACTCTCCTGCTATGTCCTGTGAAATGTGCTGATCTAGTAGGAAGAAAAAGAGATTATGTTAGGTTCAAAATCAATTCTTAGTATTTTATACATCAAAATTAAAGCTCCCCTTAGTTTGCGTTATGACAGAGTAAAGAGGTCTAGCTTTTCAAGCCGCTCTTTGTATGGCGAACCCAGGGGCTTTGGAATTGCATGTTAAGCTGATCTTTGTGCTTTTTCCAGGATATCCGAGTCACCTTCTAAACATGAGCTTGAAGCCTCAGCGCAGTTCTCAAGCGTAGTTCTCACCAAGGTTGTGTGTACTGTAGTGAGCATGGTAGCGTCTAACTTAGTGAATATCCGTTTTAAAGCCCAGAGGGTTCCAAGCCCTTTGGCTGCGACTGCCAGGCAATGGACCGTCGTCTTAAGATCATGACTCACTGTCACCTCAAGATCCACATGAGACCAGACTACGAGGACAGGCACTTCCCCTACGCTGTACCTAATAACCTTTGTATCCCCAAAGCGCATGTAGGCACACTTTGCCATGTTGACAGGCATCAGCCACTCTTTAGACCAGTTAGTCACATTATTTAAGTCTGCCTGAAGTGCGCATGCATTTGCGTCTCTCGTTATTACTCGTCTGATTTTTACATCGTCAACGTATAATAACATTCCGGACTGTACTAAATTTGGGAAATCGTTTACATACAGTATAAAAAGTAAGATACCTAGGACGGAACTTTGTGGTACTCCACTAAGTACTGGTCTCCAGGAGGAGCACTTGGAATTTATTCTTGTTTTCTGTTCACGACTTACTAGGAAAACCCTTATTCATTTTAGGTTCAATCCAGCAATACCAAGATTTTCTAGCTTTAATAGCAGTCTATTTGTTGACACCTTGTCGAATGCTTTGCTGAAGTCTGTGTAGATAACATCCACTTCTTCTCCGTTGTCTAGAGCTCCATTTATAAAAGGGGGATTGTTATGCATGATAAACCTTTTCTGAAATCGTGTTGTTCACTGTATAACAAGTTGCTGGTTTGCCCAAATGTCATTATGGTCTTTTCGACTATTCTGTCCAGTATTTTAACCACGACACTGGTGAGGCTGACAGGTCTGTTGTTCGATGGAAGTTGTCTTGGTCCTGTTTTACGTATGGGAGCGACCATTGCATCCTTCCAGTTCATAGGTAACACAACTTGGTCAAGTAATATATTGAATGCCACAGTCGGTGGGACTGTAGTATGTCTCAAGATTTTGGGGCGTAGTTCATCTGGTCCTGTTTACATTTCTGTGTCCAAGGTGCTAAGAGACTTGAGTACATCGTCTTGATCGAAGTCCATGGTGAGCAGGTGGTTTACTGACTCTGTATTTGGGTCTTGTTCTTTGTCTAGAAGAGGTTCCTGAGTGAAAACTGCTCCAAAATAGTTAGCCATAGCCTCTGCTTTTTCCTGATCTTCCTCTATCATTCAAGACTCACCCTCTTCTTTAATTGGGTTGGGAATCCAATAATGCATTCTTGTTCTGTGATTTGTGTACGAGGATATTCTTTTAGGCTGCTTGAGTGCAGATTGTGTCATATGCTCCCCGAATTTTAATTATACACGTGTTTTTTACCGACCTGTAGCGTTCCATCATACCTGCTATACCAAGGCGAGGTTGTCGGTTGATAGTGACCCACTGGTGATGGCTGTGGAGCTTACCAGATTGTTGCGCCATGCGCTGCCAAATCTGGATGAGGAGTCGGGGGCGCAGTTGCTGGCGTCGCAGTTTATCAAGAGTGTGCCTGCCGCCGTGTCCCAGCAGCTGAAACTAGTAAACGTAGAGCAACCTATGTTTAGTAGCCTGTTGTGTTCACTTGTGGTGGCGGGATCACCATTTTGGTAGTTTGTTGTGTTCGCTTGTGGTGGCGGGATCACCATTTTAGTGGCCCGTGATCTGTCCCCAATTTGATCGTAATGATTGGTTGCTATCGTCTATCCTCGTATATAATCATTGACTTAAATCGCGTTAGTTAATAACGGAATTAAATAAGTCAAATAACGAGAATGGAGTTTCGAATGCATATATTTCGTATAATTGTTGATTAGACAAACGAACGGAGGAACGATGCTAAGATTAGAAAGCGAAGCTAAATTGGCGCGCGGTGGAGATGGCTGGTAAGTCAATTCTCCCTTTAACAAAGAGTTAATCAATATTTATAAGCCCACAAAAATAAATTACAGACATGTGATGAGTAACGGGATAAGAAGTGTGCATACGCCTACGCGCTCATACAAAGACAGTCAAGACATTGATAAGCGAATAATTAACAAGGTCAGAATGTGACTCAACTAGAATGAATAGAATGGGCTGTTCGAAGGTTAGAATAATGAGGTATTTGGGCTTAACATAATGACAGACACTACATATGGATATCAGTTAACTGGCGAAGGTGAGTCGTCAGCTGATGACACGAACATTAGCTCCGTTTGGGTGCGAAAAGTAGGAGATAAAGTGCCAAGAAAAAGATTGAGGAGTTGGAGCGTGAGATTGCAGCATTACGAGTAAATCATAAAAGAAACGATAAATGTTACGCTTGTGGAGGGACAGGACATTGGAAGGCAAACTGTCCAACAAGACGACGACATAGATATTTTAGACGTTATAACGTGTGTTCTTTCTACCCTAGGAATCTGGGGGTTGTTGCATTAGTATATAGAGGGGCAGTTTATACGAGAGTGAACATAGATGAACGGGATTTAGTATGTCTGATCGATACAGAAGCAGCAGTATCGTTAATAGGCAAAGAGCAATGTAAGACATTCAAGCCATGTACATTAGCTGTCTACACTATAGGAGGGCATATGTTAGAGGTGTTGGGAGTATCTAACAGTATTGTAAAAGTGGGTGGAGCTGAGTTAAATTTTCCGTTCGTGGTAACCACAAGCTTATCGAGACCGATACTAGGAGCAGATTTCCTAAGAGAAGTAAAAGCGATAATTGACTTAAGAAGCGGTAAGGTGGTCACAAAGTATGGTTCATTGCCAATACACGAAGGTAGCGAAGTGGCTGAAATAAGAGTGGCAACAGACGTCTCGACGGAGAAACCAAACGTTAACGAGTTATACAAAAAGTATGCGAAACTGTTCACTGAAGATAGGGAGCCGTATGGATTTTGTGACAAAGTAAGGCATGAAATCCCGATAAAGAACGACCGAGTAAATATATTTGCAACACGTCGTGTCCCGGTGCTTTAGAGGCCGAGGTAAATCGACAGGTCCAGGAAATGTTGAAAGAAGGTATAATTGAGGAAGCGGACAGCCCATATAGCTCACCGTTACTCTTGGTAAAGAAACCCAATGGAAAGTATAGATTTTGTGTCGACTTTAGAGAACTGAATAATATAACAGACTTGAAACCTTGTGCAATGCCAACAGTGGTGGAAACATTAGATCGGCTACAGAATGCCACGGTGTTTACAGTGCTGGATTTACGGTCAGGTTATTGGCAACTACCTATAAAAGATAGCGATCGCAGCAATACAGCATTTACAGTACGTGATAAACAATGCCAATTCAAACGAATGCGTTCGGGTTGGCGGGTGCACTGTTTACGTTTAGAAGATTAATGACGCTACTGCTCAAAAATCTGGATAATGTCGAGGTATATGGTGACGATGTAGTTGTATACAGCTTGACAGAAACAGATCACGTCAAGCATGTGGAAGTAGTCTTAAAGCTTATTGATGAATTTGGACTTCGAATTAATAAGGAAAAGTCGCAGATAACGACAAACAGCGTCACATTGTTGGGACATAAAGTGGGAAATGGATAAATAAAACCATTGCCGGAGAAAGTTCTTACCATAAAAATTATTGCGGTACCTAATTTGAAAAGGAAGTTGAGACAGTTCGTGGGAAGAGCGGCGTTCTATAGTCGGTTTGTCAAGAAATTCAACGGAATAGCAACACCCTTATATAAGTTGCTGAGCAACACCAAATTTAAGTGGACAGGGACTACCGAGCAAACGTTCCACCGAATCAAAAATATGCTATACGATCGGCAAATGACGCTGCGACTGCCTGAACCCGGGAAAATGTTTGCAGTGGACACAGATGCCTAGAAAAAATGCTTCCGACAACGATATTTCACGCCATCGGTGCGGGGTATTGAGAGTAGTTTTCAACTAGCAATAACTGCGCCTCAGATAAACTTCATTGGCTACGGTACCGCCACTGCGCAAAGTCAACCAGACAAGCCCAATCAACACGTGCCCACCATGCCACTCAAACTAAATCATCAGTCATCCATTTGCACATCAAACACAGCCACATACACAAACACCACACTGAACAGCACCATTTCACAAACACACACACACACCCAACATCAACATACACACCAAATTCAACATTATCAAACGCATCAACATCAAACTACACTGCTCAGCAACACTTTCCATCCAAAGTGCATACAACCATTCACACTACTTATATACATATTCTCAGTAGCGAGTCGGCTCAAGACGAAAGCCGGCAACGAAACACCAACACTATTTCAACTACTAATACTGCTACTACTACTACTACTACTACTACTTCTACTACTTCTACTACTTCTACTTCTACTACTACTACTACTACTACTACTACTACTACTACGTCGACTGCTACAACTAATGCTACCTCGACCACTACTACCACTATGACCACTAATACTACCACTAATTCTTCAACTTCTACTATCACTTCTCTCATACAACACCGCCACTACGATACATCGGTCAACTGCAAGTGAATCATTCACTG